GACGTTTTTCAATATAACTGCACCCCATTAGATGACACCACCTGCCAGTGTAATTACGCGAAAATTGAACCTTTGAACCATTCGCGCCATTTCCCATAGTAACATCCGGCGGGTTCTTTTTTTTTTCATGAATCAAACAGAAACGAACAGGCAGCATTTTTTTGCGTCCCTTGATGCACGGAAGGTTCTTTATTTAGTGCAGCTAGATTAATTACTAGTGATTTATTGTAGGCGGTTCGTCTGACGTCATCGGGATCATTTTGAGAATGTACTACTGCGGCGCATGCGTTCTTGTGCATTTACCTCAATTTCTCGGTAAGTAGGGCACTGTTGTTGATAATATTGTCATTTCAGATGTCGTCATACATTGAGCTTTCACTCTGACGTAAATATTTATTGGACTTCAGTGTCCCTTTAAGCGTGTGCTCGAGCACGGCAGGCCTGGTGGCGCTCGCTCACTAAGGAGCGAGCGCGCGCCTCTAAACTGGCCGTGGCACAAGAAAAAGCTATACCCCCCTTTCGTTTTTTTTGGGGGGGGGGGTGGCGTAATCGGCGTCAGATGACTATGGTGGACCGTGGGTGCGATATTCATCATCATCATCATCAGCCTGACTACGTCCACTGCAGGACAAAGGCCTCTCCCATGTTTCGCCGGTCAACTCGGTCCTGTGCTTGCTGCTGCCACTTTATACCTGCAAACTTAATTTAATCTGCCCACCTAACTTTCTGTCGCCCCATAAGCCCCTTGCCTTCTCTGAAAATCCAGTCAGTTACCCTTAATGACCAGCAGTTATCTTGCCTACGCGCTACAAGCCCGGCCCATGTCCATTTCCTCTTCTTGATTTCAAATACGATATCCTTAATTCCGGTTTGTTCCCTGATCCACTCTGCTCTCTTTTTGTCCCTGGAGGTTACACCTATCATTTTGCTTTCCGTCGCCTCAATTTAAAACCCTCTTTGTAAGTCTCCAGGTCTCAGCTCCGTAGCCAAGTACCGGCAAGATGCAGCTGCTATATACCTTCCTCTTGAGGGTTAGTGGCAATCTACCAGTCATGACTTGAAAGTGCTTAACAAATGTGCTCTACCCCATTCTTATTCTTACAGTTACTTCAATCCCGTGGCGCGGCTCTGCTGTTGTTACCTCCCCCAAGCAGACGTAGTCTTTTAAAACTTCAAGTGTACTATTGCCTATCTTGAAGCGCTATTCTCTTCAGAGGTGGTTGTACATTACTTTTGTTTTTGGAAGATTGATTTTAAAGCATGCCTTTCTGCTCTCCTATTCTAACTCCGTAATCATGAGTTGCGATTCGTCTCCCGAGTTACTCAGCAATGCAATGTCATGGGCAAAGCGCAGGTTACTAAGGTACTCTCCATTAACTCTTATTCCTAAGTCTTCCCACTCTCCTGTAAGCACGCGGTAAATAGCATTGGTGAGATTGTATCCCCTTGCCTGACACCCTTCTTGATTGGTATTTTGTTCCTTTCTTTATGGAGCACTATGGTGGCGGTTGATCCCCTGCAGCTTTCTTCCAGTATGTTGATATATGCTTCATCGACCCCCCCGATTCTGCAGTGTCTGCATGACTGCCGATATTTTTCCTGAATCCAATGCCTTCTCGTGATCTATGAAGGCTATGTATAAAGTTTGGCTGTATTCTGAGCATATGTTTATAACCTGATTGGGTGCGATATTACCGTTATGTAAATGTACTAAATGAATTAAGACGTGTTCATTGCAAGCCGGCGTGAACTGTGTCTGAGCTGAGAGTTAGTCTGTCGAGAGCCCGCAAAATAAGAAAAGGCAAAATCGAGCAAGCAGTCGATAGGAAGAGCAGACACGGCCGTCCAGTGGATTTTCGCTGCCCCCGAAAAGCAGCGCCCGAGCCAAAGTGCCAGGTGCTCGCTACCACTCCAGCACGAGGGTGGGCGCAAGTGCCAGAAGGAGGCGCGAGTAGTGAGGGCTGCTTGCCGAAGTAGAGGACGACACACCGAGTTGATGTGTGGCCGCATCGCGATGACCCTCCCGTCGCGGGGCTAGGGTGGTCGATCATCGGATAATTTAATAGTCTTATCTCTCTCTTATGCTATGACACCGAGATGATTTCACCTAGCTACTCACATGGGGATTGGCCAAGAAGTGGGACGGATCATAAGGTCCTAAATTTTCAAGTCCTCCTGGAGGTTGAGGAGTCAATTACTTCACGCTTAGGCGTGTCGTAGTCTTTTCCTGTTCGGTTTGTTGGGGCACACAGTAGTGCGCTACGAATGTGTCTAAACGCCACTGGAATAACAAACGCCATGGTGCTGCCAGTACAATAGTAGTGCTACTACTTTGGAGAACAAGTATTCTGTCCCTGCTTCCTAGAGTGCCTCCTTTTCAGCCTTTTACCTTGCTTTGCCCATGCAATGCCAGGAACTAGTGACGTCGCATCTTGACACGTCGCCGCCTACTGGGTGCACCTCTCTTGCCTGCTAGACGGGATTACAAAAACACCATGCAAAAGCCCTCCTGGGCATTTTTGTGAATGCTTTCAGAACGAGTGCAGTTTTTGAAGACAAAATAAGCAACAGAAGAAAGCCCAGGCGATATTTGTTTCATCTACAGTGAACACACATTGCGCACTGTCGCAGAGATGGGGTACGGCTGAAGAAGCTTCTTGCGTGAAAGGCAGCCAGACCCTGAGGCCGAACAATATGCGGAATACATTCTTACATTGGTCTGCAGAGCATGCCAGAATGAAGCCTCAATTCAGAGATGGCGCTTCCAGTATGTGGGGTTTAACGTCCCAAAACCACCACAATTATGAGAGACGCCAGAGATCGCTCTTCCGTAGCAAACATGGATACATATAACCAAGGACGTAGCCAGAAATTATTTTCTAAAGGGGGCGGGTGGCAAATTCCCTCAATTTTTCCCTCGAAATGGTCATTTTGTGCTATTCCACGGTGATGATAATTTGGAGGGGTGGGGGGGGCACGGGCCCAGAGTGTCATTCTCTGGCTACGCCCCTGCATATAACTGTATACACAGGTAAGCGCTGTTGGGTGAATGCTGTTATAGCCTTTCAAAAACAATTTCTTTAAAATTTTAAATCAACTGACGACTTGTGCCCGCCATCAGCAAGATTCATATTCATTTCGTGCAAGTTCCAGGATGCTTCATAATCATTATTGCTCAAGTTTACTGGCCTGCTAAGTGAGTGGTTGCCCACTGCTTTCTCCTCACTTTATTTTAATCTAGTACACTCTTTGGTTGGTGCTAAGACTAACATGAACGCATGATGTGCGACATGCATTTTATTTTTAACACGATTCCTACCGCTCTTTCCATTGCAATGAACTTGTCAGTATGTATAGAATGAAAAGAGCATTAGGCCAAGACCGTAGGTTGTGAGACGGCCGTTCAAGGGGCAGCAGTCCACAAGGCGACAAATCTGCCATTGTGCAACGTGAAGGTGAAAAATATCCCCTTACAACATACACTGTATTATACAGTTAACTAAACAATGTTGGTACATAAGGATGAACATTAGCTATGAACCACAATAAAAAAAAAAAAGACGTTATTGAAACCAGTTGCTGTGCAGTGCAGGGTAGAAACAATGTAGACCGCAATATAAAGTGCTACTGCACAATATTTTCCTTAAGCTTTCCAGAAATTTTGGGGACAAAATCATGTATATAACACAAAAGCTCTGAGAAGGCGATTTATGGAAGAATTCAATGGGGGACATTCAAGCCAATGGACAGAATCTATTGGACACAGCAGCGACGACAGCAACATTGAGGTTATTGGGTTTACGGCAACACGCAATGCGAGAAAGCCATCAAACAAAAACAAAGCTTTGCTCCCATTATCTTAAAATCAGCCTCGCTTCAGAACATGAATGCCCTGTTTGAAACGCCTATTTCCAGTTATACTACACACCGTTGCTCTTTGGGAGTCCTAAGGATGATGTTAGAGAATACGAGGTATTCATATGATTGAGATGTATTCAGATCCTGCAAGCATGGGTGTGTGGCAGCTGTTAATGTGCCCAACAACAGGCCACATGTGTGACTATGTCCTGGTGGAAACGAAAAGACCATGAAATATAGTCAGAAATTCCAGCATACATTTTGTGTTGCGAGTAGGATTTGTATTCTTAAATTGCATTTAATAAAAGCATTGGTGTGTGACACAGTCTAGCAGAAAAGCATAGCTGGATTATGGAGTCAATCACTTTGCTGTACATAGGCACAAGCCTGATGCTGTAGTGTGGGCCATAATCAGTCTCAATAATAGAGTAGGTGCATATTATAATCGATGCCTGCTCTATTTCATGCTGCATATGAGGTAAAACAAGTTGCATGATGAGAAGCAGCAATGCGTGGACCATATGGAGCTGCGGCACATACATACAGATTGCATGCATGCTCAGTAAACCGCTGCGCTCGAACACAAATTACTCTCACGCTAATTGTTCGCAGCACATGTTGTCACGTGTGTATGCAACTTTATATTCACCGCAGATAGAAAAATTCTGATTACAAATGTTGCACAGCGTTCTTCATGTTACCGATTCCACGACTGGACACTTTGAACGGCAAGCTTCCCGTCGCAACAAAGAACATGGGAACCATAAAAATGGCTGTTGGTCCCTTTACGACACTTCCCTAGAGGAGCTTACAAATGACTTGGAGGAAAAAAGAAAACTGGTTTCCCCATGGACTCATTTTAGGCAAATGCACAAAAACCGTGTGGCCTTTTTTTTAACAGATCCTGTGTGCACACAGCAATGTGCAGCGAAACATCCATTTAGTTCAACTAACACCGTTCATGCTGTAACAAACATTGGTATTCCAGTTACGCTTGCAACTCAACACCTTTATGCCTCTACAAAAAACACATAAGTGACATCGTATCAGCACGTAACGTTTGCACATCAGTGTTGCAACAGTGGGGCGATTGTGGGCATACTTATTATTACATAAAAATAGAGGAAACGAGGGCGCAAGGATGTAAGCGCCATCAGCAGACTTTATTCAATGTTGAGAGAACATGCAAAAAAAAAAAAGACCTAGTAGGCGTTCTCAAAAACTTAAGGCAGGGTTAGGAGTGATGGAAATGTCATCTTTGTTCCTGATGCCGTTCTTGTCGACAACCTGCACTCGGAAGGCAGGGAGGTTGACCAGAAAGCGCTTCTGGACCTCACTAACGCACTTCTTCAGCACATCGATCGCTTCCTCCTCGCTCATGTCTGCAAGCACAAAGCGCAATAAATGTCAGCAACCCTTCTGGCCACTGCACACCATTGCAAAAGGCTTCAAACACTTCTGAAGTTGTGGTGGCACACTTACTTGAAGTCATAATGAAGTTGTCTACCATAAAATCGCGAGCATGCGCCCCCCTTCCCTTCTTAGGTAGACTTCAAGTATGCATGCACCCTCTCCCGTCACACTATTTTCACTGTTTCATTTACTGTTTACATCCGCCCGACGAGGGTGAATGAAAACAGTGAATGTGTCCATCATTAGTAAAGCATTTCATCCGAAGCATGTGAGTGCATTTTCAATTCTCAACGGCTCTTCTACTGCCATCTTGGGTTTTGATTTATGACCGAACGAGGACACCCCTTCCAAATCTTGTCGAATCATCCTTCACGAAACGAGGGGAGTGGTCTCAGTGTTCAACAAGTTTGGAAGCCTGGAGTTGGTCTCGATCGGACGCACCATGTGTCACCAATGCAGTCACGATGTCGTAAAAAAAAAAAGGATTAGTTTTGCTCACAGAGCAAATCACGAAAAAATCGATAGCAAGGTGGTTCAGCATAATGCATGAGCTCTTCGAAGTGTTTCATAACAACAGGTGTGGCAAGTAGCAGCTTGCACATCAACTGCTGTTGCACGGCATAAACGACACCCTCGATGCTTTTGAATGGGTTTTTATGCATTAATCTAAACCATGCACTACACTCACGGTAAAGCATTTACATGGTCAGTAACAACTAAAGAATTCAGTACGAGATCTGTACACTAGACTACACTGCATCTCCCCTCTGTTCTTCGATGCTATCTCACAATCATTCAAGAATGATGGTATAAAGTTGATATTCTTCTCTCTCGTCACATCACAAAAATGAGCAAATGTGACCAATCTTTGTGCTGATTGTTGGCCTCTCATTTATTCAATTTTTCCCAGTTTAGGATTAAGAAGGATGAACTATTATGCTCCGATTTAGTCATGCACTTATTGATGAGCACTTTAATGCTAATGCATCAAGCGTCTTCTCTGTCTTTACCTTTCGCACTTTCACCCCTGTAACATGACAAACCAAGAAGCCCAAACAACTACTCTAGTAAACTTAACTAAGCACTGTGATCGGCATATGCATGCCAACAAGTGTAAATTAATTTTTACGTACTCCACATATGGGGACACAAAACAATGACAAAGATAACCAGTTACCAGCACATTCTTGCACAAGTTGTTTTGTCCATTTACCACCAATATGCTCATAGTTAAAAGCAGTGCAACGTATAAACACTGACCAAGTGCACACATTATTACTGCCGACTTCCCGCTGCTTGATTTACTAAGAAAATGCACAAATATACATTTAACGTTTCTCCGTGTTTACTTCATACTGTTTTTAACTATTGATTTGTAACGAAACCAGCTCGCGTTCACTCGCTTTTAGTTTACCCGAATGCTGTGGCATCGGGTACTTGTCACCGCAAGAGGCAATCATCCACCTACCTTCCCTGTAGTACCTGTCGAGCACCGACATGAGGAAGAAAGCTCCGTAGCCGTGTGCCGCGAAGGGCACCTTTGCCATGGTTGCCAGGTAGTCTATGTAGTAGAGCTCAGGGCCCGAAGCGTCATCATGGCCGGCCAGGAGCACGTTGACTGAGTACGGGGTCTGCGTGCACGTTTTCGCCAAGGCGATGAAGGCGCAAGCGTCGGCTTAATAATAACATAGGGGGTTTAATGTCTCAAAACCACAATATCATTACAAGAGACGCTGCAGTGGAGGGCTTTGGAAATTTTAACAATCTACTGCTCTTTAATGATCACTGACATCGCACAGTAAACGGGACTTTACCATTTCGCCTCCATCGAAATAAGAGTGTCGCGGCAGGGATTGAACCCGCGAACTTTAGGTCAGCAGTCCGAGCACCTTAGCCACTGATCTACCGAGGCGGACGCAAGCGTCGACTTGCAGGTGAATTTATGTAATACAGTAGAATGAGATGAGAGAGCGAAAATTTCATACGCTCACTGCAATGTCTAAAATATGCCTCATACATTAACAATGATACTAATACTACTACTCCTAATAATAATGAGGATGTATGGGGTTTTACATCCTGAAACCACGATGAGATTATGAGGGACGCTGTAGTGGAGGGCTCCGGAAACTTCGACCAATAGGACAAGGAAAGCACCGAGGACATTAAAGGTTGTTTTTAACTGTAGTATATAAATAATGACTTAAATTGAAATTATTGAGAATGTACAAAAAACAACCCTTTTTGTCAGTGGGATTCAAACGCACAACCTTTGAATTACACGTCCGATGCTCTACCAACTGAGCTGCAATGAATAGGTAGAACGTCAAGAGCGTAATTCAAAGGTGCTGGGTACACATCTCGCTGACCAAGAAGGAAATTTTCCGGCCACTTTATTTCATATCAATTTACATCCCCTATGCTTTCCTTGGCCTAATTCCTTATGAGATTCATTCGGTTATATGGAGAGAAGCTAGAAGACAAATAGGGGAGTTACCAAAATTAAAATTTCTGGAAAAAAAGTGTAAAACTAGCTCAATTTATGGTTATAAATGTAGTCAGACTTTTGTGAAAACAAATATAGATAAAATTAATCATTAAACACAATGGCATCTTATGATTGCCACTGCAACCCTCCGATTTAGGCCGATGAATTTTGCAGGTGTTCTGGATTTAAATGGGAGATACTCTACACCAAACTCAACAGCTGGCTGCTAGTTAGGGCAATAATAGGGAGGAAGCGAGAATTCAGCTGAATTTCCAGTAATGCAGTACGATCTACCAAATGTGTTTAGATAAGAGACCTGGTGGAGACAACGAGAAATGAAGGCCATTATCGTTGCTGCCGTGATCGGAGTGAAAGTTCCCCTTCACCAGAAAAGGAGCTGGTACATGTCGGTTAACTCCCAGGAAACCAACCAGACTGTTATACTGCTGTGACACCAATAATAGCAGCGTCATCTCCCAGCTGAAATCTCGAGTTGAGGCTGACAAAGCCTATAACGCTTCAACCATTAAGAGATATGTTCAAAAGCGAGGGTTCACATTTGATTATTTCGCCCTTGGCCTTCTGCCTTGGAAGACTAGCGATGTTCTGGTTTTGGTTCCGCCAAGGTTCAACGAAATGCACTGCTCACCCTGCTCCTGAGGTAGTCTGCAAGGTTCCGCCGAGTGAAGCAGGCCGCAGCAGCCGGTGAGAGTTCGTAGCCTGAGAGATAAAATGCATCGAGCAGATTGAACGAACCCAGTCATCTCCGATTTATGCAGCACACACGGGATGAGGATGAAAAATTAATGAAGCACAGAACATCGGCTGTCCTGTGCCTGGGAGCGTGTGGGGAGGCATCAGCCAGAGAAAAACACATGCCAACTCAAGTTTCCATTCTCATAATGAAACTTAGCAGCCAACTTGGCCGTTGCCTGCATCTCATGTTGTATTAGGCTATATGACTTATGTTGTATTAGGCTATACGAGTCTTTCACCAAGAGGAGTTGTTTTGTGAGGTGGGAGGGGGGAGAAAGAAAGAAACCATGACTCTTCCTCGAGATTGTGTGAGGAAGAGTCAATACTTCCTCAGCCACTATGAAATGTGCTGGTACATATTTCAGCTGCATTCTTCCCGGCAGCTAGAACCTCATCTGCTTTTGCGAGATGCCCAGCCTACAAAGCAGGCTGACTATGTACCATTCAAGATGTGACGGGGCTTTGTTAAAAGCATACCATGAGCGAAGCAATAACAAATGCAAAAGCATGTTCTAGCAGCAGCCTGTTGGAAGTTTTTCTTATGTTACGGTGGAGGAAATGGCTTGGTATAATGGGAGGCTTTAGAGAAACAGAGGACATGTGGTAAAAACACTCTAGACTTCAGCTACACTAGATGCCGCCACCGTAGTTCCATTTCAGCTTTGTCCTCAAATAAGGTAGCGATGACTAAACAACTGCGTCAGGCTCCGTCACGTCTTGTTAAAGACACAAAGCAAAAACACAAAGACGCAAAAGCTGACAGATCCAATGACCTCGGTGATTTGCAATACAAATAATGATATGGCACGAACTGCTCAGCAAATTCCAATACAGATTATCTGCCGATGCAAGCTAAATTAAGATAAAAACACCTGAACGCTTTTGCAACACCATACAATAGAGTGAACTTTGATAACGTTTGCTGGCTCTTGTACAGCAGGCAAGTATGCGGCCGCTTTAACGTTTTGTAGCCTAGATGTTTTATTTGCCCGAAGTAAAACATTCTGATTGATTTAGAAATGCTTGCATGCCAACTAGGTACACTTGAAATTGCTCTCACAACCCTGAACTACCCAGATGACATCATTTGTTAAACTTCTAAATCCACTACACGATTGCCACACAAAATTATCATAAGCTGTTGATAAGAAGCACCATGCATTAGCAAAGATTATACTTCGTTATAAAAGGACGTAAGGCTAACGTTGCAAAATTTTTAAACATTTTTTAAACACACTAACACGGCTTCCAAACAAAGAAGTAGCACTCCTTCTTAATTCAACACATAACACTGACGTGCTGGCGGCTTGATTGTGATTCAGAATTCAAGATAAGGAGAACAAAGCCACCTTTTCTCCAATTGCAGCTAATTTTTCCGGTACAATTTTTTGTTTTTAAAGAATACATTACCGGCACAAACTAGCTAGTAAGTGTTTTTAAAGCAGTGTTTAGAATGCTCAGGTTTCAGAAGGCAATCTAGCAATCTTGCCCAAGCTCCTTCGTGCTCAGAGCTGTGCACTGCGTTGACAAATCAAAGGGCGCAAAAATTTTCCGCCAAGCACGCAGGCCAAAATGAAGCAGCAAAGTTCGAGCTAGTTGGTCTTACTGGAGCCCCATCTTACCATGCAATTCATATGTCCTCTCAGTGCCTCTCTGTATGACGCACGAAAACTTTTTTTCCTGTTTCCTCAATATGATCGATCACCTATGGCAGCAGCAACTAAACTGCATACATAGTATGCATTATGCTTGATGTTTGGTGTGATATGTCTGCAAGCCAGCGCTAGAACTGCTACGTGCCGAGGCAAATGTAGGTACTTCACTGTCCAGTTTATTTTACTTTTCTTCATGATATTATACCAATTGATATTACACCAATTGGAAAGGCCCTTCCAATATACCAGCTCTACACTACTCTGCTCCAACTAAGACTAAGTTGGAATATGCATGCATGGTTTGGAAGCACACAAAAACTAATATCGATAGCCTTGAGAGAGTGCAGTGAAAAGCGGTTAGATTTGTTTAGAGGGGTCCTGAAATGAAAATAAAGCTGTCCGGTTGTAGTCTTACCCGATTCATTAACATGCAGATTCCGAAATATTTCAGTGCAGAATATCCAGTCTAATGTTATCATTGATGCCAGTTTAAAATCGCTGTTTCCTCAGGCTCCATAACGACAATACAGCTCTACCGGCCGCTATAGGCATAAACATTCCGTAAGAGAATGTCATGGTGAGAAAAATAATAAGCAGAGCATGCTTTTTTTGCTGCTTCAAAATTACAGTTATAGGAAGCAAGAAAATAAAGAAATAACACAGCAAATTTCGCCCTCTGGGCATCGAGAGGAGGCGTTGGTTTTATATACTGTGTAAATACAACCAATGATTTGCTTGGTTCTGCTTTCATATACATCCGGGCTCCGTAACGTGTTGCTTTCGTGCGTTTGGCGCAGAGTAACAGTGTTTTTCTTACCGGTTGCATCACTATGCCTACAAAGTGCATCGTCAGACAGTGCAGCACAACTTATCTAAGTCGAAACGACGCTCGTGATAAATTTACGGTGCCGCAATCAAGACGCTATGATTCTACAAAGCTGCTGGACTTTACGAACCTTGATCAATTATAGCTGAGCAAACATCGCTGCGTTACCATGTTCTGTAAACCGCAGACTTTTCATTCCCGGACTTAAAGTAATATCAGCTGCGCAGTTGAGGGAAACGTGAGCGGGGGAATCGAAATTGTGGTTTTGTAGCTGTTAAACGATCATGGGTGATGAAACGAGCCGAGGTATAGAATTGAATGAATGGCCCGGATTCTGAATTCACAGGTAGCTGAAAATTTTCTGAAAATGTTTCATGACTCCTTTAAAAGTTTTCGAAATCCAATTACTGTGCTTAACTTAGAGAAATAAACAACATCAAAGTAATAACATTCACGTATCAGCCACGTTTCTTATACAAAAATTACATGGCCCCTTTCAAGTACTTCTCTCTTCCTTTGCCTCTCTTTATTCGGCTCATCCTCCTTTTCTACCACTTTATCCCATTTTTTTTTTTAATTCGCTCTTGCATAGCGCAGCCCCATTCTACAATAACGGGACTAGGCAGGGAAGCAAACACTGAAAAAAAAAAAAATCATGACGCAGAAGGTGAGGCATGGCCCTGAACATGATATAAAAATAATAAAAATAATATGATCAAAGAGAAAATTGCGTGTTGGCGTGAGCATTAAAGAAGTGACATTAAGGTCATGCCGAGACGGACACACGAATTGCTTACATAAAACCTATGCGCACCAATGCAGTTCTTTAACGGCATCACACGAGCATTGACCCCTGGGCATAGCAGCACACAATATCGATGAGAAGCAACAGGATTTCCTACATGACGCACAACTGCACAGAGTACACTCACACATGAGCACCGTCTGCTACACTGTTTGCTTAGCGGTGCATACACAGTATCAGCCTAATCGGTGCAATCGTATGTTCAGAAAGCCGGAGCGGCATTAAAAACAACGCATCCTCAGGTCAACACTTGGGTGACTGTTATGAAAAAACTGCAATGATGTACAGTGAAACCTCATTATAACAAAATCGCATCTTACATGAAAATAGGTTCATTATAAAGATATATTCTTAACACTATATCTATTGCAAGACTATTCTTAATTTACTTTGTTATGACCAACACACACAGCCCAGAAAATCAACAACAAAAGAAATCAGGAAAACCAATTAGCTACCATTGCGCATCTTGAATAGCTGGATGTTCTTGGCAATGAACTCGGCAAACTGGACTGTGTCACCAGCCTCCCCACAGACGGCCATGAGCAACTTGTCGCTCAGCTTGTGGATCTTTTCCTCATCTGCAAAAGCGAGAAGCGGCGGTTTTGAGAGTGCGAGCCCATGCCTTCGAAAAGCCCACTGAACTACCAAAGACGAAAAATGCAACATGACTAATTATTCATCGTACTCCCAAGGAAGGCCCAACAGTGCAATATGTGGGTTGACTGTCTAGCAGAATTAAGATGGGATGAAAATGTCCTGCCAATGACCTCTTCACTGCCAGACTACCTTGATGCCACCATTACCTTGATGCCACCATTACCTTGATGCCACCATTAAGATAAGCTGCTGATGATGAGGTGCCTTTGGCCAAATATGGCCAAGAAGTACCACGACAGAGGCAATAAGTTTAATGTATTTTTTTCATCAATGTCGCTATTGGGCATTGTATAATCATTAACACTTTTTTCCTTACGTTACTGTTTGCATCTAAATTGTGCATAGACATGTATATATTCTTTTGATGCTCCCCTTACACAATGCCCTGTTGGGCCTGTAAGGTATTCTGAATAAATAAATAACGAATCTTATGGATTTGTGAGGAATAAAGTGTGATGCAGAGAACAGGGGTTTGTAACAAACAGGCTCTTTAATGTGTGTGAACACCTATATGGTTACCATCAATTTAGGCGATAACCGACATTGTTTAATCTTGGCACAATTTTTTTTCTTGATTCTTACTCCATGCCGTGTAATGGCATTGCCGTTTCGAAAGGTAAAATCTCACAATATAGCTTTTCTAAATGTAATTATTCCACTTCTCTTCATTTTATAAGTGCACACGGAATGGTGCAAAGCAAAAAAAACGGGGCTCACTGTAAGTTTCTGGGTATGTCACAGATTTGTTCATTTTCTTGCCCTCAACCAAAGAGCATGCAAATCATGTCTCTTCCTCTCTGTCTTTTCTTGAGCTTGCACGCTTGCCACTAATTAACCATAGGCCAACGATCAACACATCCTGCCGGAAAAAGGAAGCGAAGCCAGACTTGAAAAAAAGCATCTTAAACGTTTCAGCAAAGTGTGTTTCAGAACAGCGTGCCAGCCCGCATCGTCCAGAAAACCACTGCAGCTATCAATCCGCACCTGTTAGCTGCTCAACTCTTTTTTTTTTTTTTCCTTTTATGCCCCCTTCAGACAGCTGCGCTCACAAGTCACCACCGCTGAGTCAGCGCTGTCGCGAGTGTGATATGCTTTGGCGGCTGTAGACTGTCTTGCGAAGCAAATACAAAGAGGAGAATTCGCACTATCTTTTTAAGAGCTGCAAAAAAAAGGGGGGGTTGGGCTGGATCAGGCTATTAGGAATGAATGCATAGCCAGTGGCCATGGGCTCGTTACAATAATAATTGATGTTGTTCAAAGGTTGTATATTATGTAATATTTTTATATCTGGACGCACCGTGAAGCCCTTCCTCACCCTTTCAATACTCCGTGTTTAGCCGAACCTCTGTCTCACTTGGAAAGGCATCAAAAGGGACTCTACGAGGAAACATACACATTGATGATTCTTCACTGGAATGAAATTTGGAATCGTGCTCCATAAGCACCAGAGTTATTCAAGTTATACTAGTTGTGAAACTGCATTTCGAAATCTGAACACGCAGTTGGCCCACAGGCACGAACTCAACAGAAAGTTATCTGTCACGGACAAAAGGAGGAGGTAGAGGAAGGAAAGCCAGCACTGGGAGCAACATTACCACCCACAAAAGCAACCAATAGGATCATTTAAACTGATGTGAACTATTTAAATAGTGTTTTAGGTATCCCACTATTGACAATGAGTGCGCAGAAAAAAATTAATTTTTAGTGCAATAACCTAGTAGATGGGTATTTTCAGGAATGTGAAACAATCCTCTTACACGTGTGTAGCAGCGGCTCTGGAACTTTGCGAATCGTTCCCTACCTCTTCTACAGGGCAGTGTCAGACATTAAAAACTGTGCTGGGCCTGCCGCAAATATCTTCAACAAAACTCTGAACTACCGGTAGCGGTTCTACACCTGCAAGTCTACGTTTGTACAGAGCTGTTATTTGTTTTCGAATCATTGACAGAGCTATCAAACAGCTCACAGAAAACATGACAGACACCGTAGACAGTTTTCATGCTGTATCTGCGATATGAACCAAATGCACACACAAAGAGAACGATTCACGATTGTTTTATTTATAAAATGAGAAAGAGGGAAAGATGTCCATAGAAATAACCTTGTCTAAGTCGTTTACACTACACGCATCACACCGTTTCCTAGGGTAACACCACCACAGCAGCCTATAAATACCTTTGGGCACTAAACTTGTTGACAGCACACACCACCAAACCACTTTGAGCACCAATCGAGTGGACGTAGTTATCGTACAAACACGAACATACATATGCACACACCGACGATGCGCGGAATAGAAAGACATTCACCAACTACAGCACACGCCGACGAAGAAAGAAGAAATACAGGCACTGTTAAGCTCTTGCCTGTAGTGAGCTCTACCACCAGAAGGCACTAACTACAGCTGTAGCATGGTGTGCACCGCCACCCAGTGTTGCAGCAAAGCTCAGCGCTGTCAGGGACGATGTACCAACACCTACAGCAGTCCAACACACATCACTTTTTTTTTTCTAAGGCACAAGCAAAACAAGAACAGTGCTGTGGAGGCAACTAAATAGTCAGTGACAGCCCAAGCATGCTGCACAGGCTTCCTACTCCTGAAAAGTGATATGAGCGGTCTTAAAAGCTTGTACAGTACTCGCGAACTGAATCGCCACAATTTAGGGCTAAACAACATACTCACACCCATCTCCAGTTCATGCCAAATTGTCCAAATTTTGACTTGAACATCAGAATCAACATTATCTTCAACAGCCAGATTCGTAGCCACATGGCGTAACTATCGCAAAAAATGGAACATACCAGACATTATACTAAACATTTTGATGTTGCCTTTCAGACCACGAGCACTGTACTTGGAAAACAAGCCCAGCTCAACAAAGCATGGACCTTCCTCACTAGCACGGCACTTGTGCAAGGCCTCTCCAATTGCAGGTGTAACATGTGTTTCCTCTGAAAGGCAGAAGCTGACGAGCACTCAACCAGTCTTCAAGTATAACAAATGCTGAAGGACCGAGCCTTTCAATTTATTCATTGGAGCCCACAGCAAAGATCATGCAAAGGGTCTCTTTAGCAAATGCAGGAAGACAGCCGTATGAAAGTGAAGTGGAGAGACGTATCAAGTTACGCAATACAATATCGAAGGCAGCGTGGTGCGCACGCCACCGACACCAGGCACGCTGTGTTCGGAATGTGCGTGCCAATTCCCAGCCATCTCTTCGGTTCTGAGTAATGAAAAAGCTAGAAACGCCATCGTAAAGACAGGAGAAAACTGTCTCCAGCGCAAACAGTGAAGGGACACTGCAAGCCCCCACAAAAACATCACCTTGTTATCACTATCTCACCAAAGATAACACTATCAGCAGCTTATCCAACTTTGGACTTTGGTTGAAACAATTGGACACAAAAATGCATGGCAGGAAAATGAAAAAAGACCATCAATAAGAAGCATATCTTGTTTAACACTTCATTTCTTTCACCGATAATTTTTTTTTTTCATAAGAATATGCTCGAAACTTAAGTTGTGCACAGATTTGCCAGCACAACAGATTAAACAAACAAGCAAGATCAACGAAGTGGTGCGAACAAACTATTGTTTGCATTCTCTCGTTACGTGCGAGTTCTCGGGCTACTGCAGTTGCGAAGGCAATGAACTCAAAACAAAACAACGAGCGTACAAAGTATGAGCGTATACAAGCTGCTGCACCAAAACAAATCTATTCAGGGTGCAATGACCGAGTCCAGAAACGGGAAATAAGTATGACTAAGGCACAGTGACGTTACCGCACGAGTGCAGGCATTTCCAACAATGGTCAGCAGCACTCAGACTGTACTGTATTCTTCTTCAAGGAGCTGTGAATTACGACTGGGTTCCGTTCCAGGAGCTCAGCTCTCACTCTTGACCCCGAGCGCCTATAATAATGCAAACAAGACCTTGCAACACTCCACGAAGGCACATGACCGCACGGGCGCTAGATAAGGCGGTCGGGCGTGAGGCCACAATGCACACGCCTAGAATGATGACACAGCGTCTTTAGTAGCTCGGATATTTCCTCGTATTTTTTCTTTTTCATATCCTCTTGCAACAGCTTTCGAGGTTATTGCCTCTTCCTCAATCATCTTCCCCACGCAAAGAATGAAATCACAAGCTCGATAAATGGACAGGTAAGTGGCTGACGCTACAAGGGCTGTGCTTCATGCTAACACAACCATAAGAAAACTGGGAGGCCACAGTTGTTAAACTACTGACCTCTTATGAATCACTGCAGGTTTCATTAACAACAAAAAAAAAAAAAATCTGGCACTTCGGCTATTTCTGGTCGGCCAATTGCCTAGTCTGCCAATGATGGTGAACACTGTTTAAAATGGCATGTGAGCATGCCTCGGCAAAGAATGACATGGTTATTGCACATGACTCAAGTTTTTCCACCATATTAGCAATACACTTCATGAATTTCGAGAGCATGAAGAAGTTGTGCAAATGCAGTTTGTGTGCACTACTCATGTTCAGGATGACTTTGTACTCAACACTTCTCATCCACTTACACTTTCCGTTACCTCACTCCAACACTCCAATAAAAACTACATTTTTTTCCTCGGCATCACAAGGCTGTGGGGTGGAAAACAGGTGACATTCACGCTACAACAATCACAACGGGCGATCACTTTCTCAATTTTGAATCCTCTAGGTCATCAATAATCCAAAAGGGTCAGAGAAAAAGAGAGGATACGATTGGAAGCAAGAGAACTTGATGCAATGCTTGATGGCTCTGGGGTATAACAAAGGGCCAGCACAGACACCCACAACGAATGAGTTCCATGGAAACCGACATATACCAGATACCTCTCACACTGGGCTGGGTTCTGATAGGAGCATAGTCACTACTTTCAGCCATACATTGTTAAAGAGCTCATAAATCATGTAAAGTTCAAAGACAGTAGTTTCTTTCTTGCCTTCACTGCTCTTCCTACACCTGCTACCTCCTCCTTGCCACTTATTTATTCCCAAAACACATGGAATGTCAGCATAAGGTGTTGAGCTAATAAGAATTTTGCTCTTTTTCACTACACGCTGCTATATGAGCTTGCGCAGTCCATAATGAACAAAAAAAAAAAGATCAGTTTACTGTACACAACAGTCATGCAAGACAGGGCAAAATGGGCATGAAACAATGGCAAACCAGGGTAGGCGACAATTAAGAACAGGTTTATCTTGTATATTGACCAACTGGAAGCTTATTTCATCCTAACGTCACATGAACAAATAGCCGGTGTCACGACAAACTGTAATGAAAAGACTGGAAATGCCAGGAGAGAAAAGCGCCGCTCATTCTTCCGATTTTTAGAAGTCGTTTAGCCCCCCCCCCCCCTCCCTCCAAGATCTTTTCGTTTTTTTTCTCCTGAACTACCATGGGGTCTCTGGCCCACACTTGCCTTCCGATGAAAAAGGTTGGGTGATGGGGCCCCCCGCATATACGTTCCGGGAGCCGGATAAATGAAAGGATTAGACCGGGTGGCGCAGCTAACGAGAGAGTGGCCAGTGTGGGGAGACTCAGTTGTCAGAGAGGCAGTGACAAGAGACCGTTCGAACAACGAAAGACCATGAAATTCTCGGCTCTTGAACTCAATAGCAAACAATCCAACTAAACATTTAGTATCATTTCGAACATCATAGTCATCTGAGTTTTTAAAATCGAACCCTTTCATGATTGACATCTCTCCATAGTTCCAGTATAGAACCTAAAGCATGCAGGCGGAAGTAACCCAAGGTAAGTTGAAAAAACGAACTAAAAGTGATCAGAGATTAAAGACTGGTCAATTTTCAAAAAAGCACTGAAGTGTTTGGAACTAGAAACACATTGTTCAAGAAGAGCAGGAAAAACAGTCCAAGTTAAACTCGAAAAGCAGTATCAACGTGCAAAGCAATTATACATGCGGAGGCAGCAATCACTACAAATATCTTGACAATTTTGCCCGCATTTAAGCACAATTGTATCCACCAGTTTTTACAGCTCGTGTCTATTGAGGCCCACGACCTCAAAGCCGCTGCACGGGTGTCCAAAGCGACATAGGACAAAGGAAACTGCTTTCAAACCAGCCCCATACATTTGTGTGGCCCACAACCAGAAAACCAGATTTTAAAATTCATTTTTGAAAAACGTGGACAATGCAAAGACGTGGCAACAAAACAGACAGAATGACTCAAACATTTACAAGAGTCCGAGACGTCTTTTGAGAGAAACAGCTGGTGTTCACGATGATAACGGCGTACTTCGTTAAAATGTGTTGACAAATAGTGCGTCCACAGAGAGACCCCACAGGGCTTTGATGTGCCTACACTAACACAGCAGTGACAAACTGATAAGCTACGCACACGGTAAAGCACAAGTAAGGTGAGGCCCGCAGCGGCGGTGATGATGAGCGTAAAAGAGAAACGGGAAACAAAGTCACTTCATAAAAAACCTATTAGTAAAAAAAAATACGGTGAGATGCTGTGTATACCTATATAAACATGATAGCTTATGCAGCATCGACTACTACACTGTGCAAGTGGGTATTAAGGACACTTATTGAAATTTTCTTACAAGCACTCACTACAAATGACAATCAGCCAGTTAAAAAGTCGCATCGACAAATGCTTGCTGTCACGTATCATATTCAACGAGACACTCCACACACTGACGAGGTTAGCAAAGGCCGGTTAGTACACTTTCCAAGTCTATCATGGTCTTGCATATTAGGGGGGTTAAACAACATGTTTGCTAAACAATGGGTTTGCATAACTCGCTAATATAAACGGAAGTCATGAACATAAGCAGAATGCCACCAAGTCTTATAAAAAAGCTTTGGTCTAAGCACTGACAACGAAGCACACTACACACATACTAGTTAGTCATCACTATAGTTGCACCTACGTAACAATGAAAGCAGCGCACCTAGTACAGTAAAAAATTAAACAACTATTACAGGTAAAAGGGAAAAGCATTGCAAATAAAAAAGCAAGCAGTAGATATAAACCTGGGGAAACATCAACACTTTCGTTCAAAGAAGCAAGCTTCAAGCTATTAAATCACAGCATGTGCACGACCAACATATTACCACAAACAGAAAACTCTATGACGTAGCAACAGTGATGACAGGGCACTCAAAAGGTGGAAAGCCAAACAGGTACATGCAGTCTAGTATATCAATAACAAGTATATTTGTGAAGAAGCTCTGAATTCAAGACTCGAATGCGGCAAGGCAAACTAACAACTCCCAACTACCCCTCCAGTTCAAACAACAAAGTCCAAATACACGAGGATACAGCAATCAACGTGACATTTGAATTGCATGCACCCACTAACGTTTCAAACGCAAGACTCAGTGTACAGGCACACTTAATATGACTTGCAACATGGGAATGCGTGGCCTCATGAGTTCGAAGGCTGTACATGGCTTCAAGTGGTGAGGCCACATGCTCCTGTGTTGCAGGTCATATTGAGCACGACTGTACATAGCTACTATTTGTTAATCGTGTTGCACCAAGCGACCATTGTCCTGTGGTCAATACAAGTGCTAACTAATGGTGGGTTTCCTATAGTGACCGTGAGTCAGCATCCAACTAAGCTGGGGGGCAAGCAGACCACACAGGTAGAACAAACCAAAAACTGCAATGCCACCATCACTGTAAATCGTGACACATGCACAAATGCTTCCAGTTCTGACCTACACCATACTAAAGCCAGGGATGTGGCTTTTTTTCCTCCGTTTTTTTATAGCTTCTACACCAGTGCTGATAGCATTTCAAGCCTCACATTAAACCACTGCAGTAGGTATACCCAGAATCCACTGCTTTCATCACAAACTAGCATCGATTCGTGGGTGCATTTTACATCAACAGAGAGGGGAGGTGAGTGCCTTAGTTAGGAGTATAACACTAGTGATATGAAAACTGTGCGACCTACCTACACAATGAATCAATGAGACCTCAAAAAAAAAAAAAAGGTAAACGTCCTGGAACCTCTTATTTCTGTCGTTGGCTGACGGCACAGTTTGGACAGTCCTTTTCAAGACCTTTTTAAGGCAAGCCTTTCTGCAATGCAGCTAGCCCAATTAATGGCGGCTAGTCACTTTTGCAAACAGCATGTGCAAATGCAGTTTGCTTAAGCTATGGCGTGGAAAATGTAAACTTGGCTCTTTTTTATGTAGATGCATGTAACACATAAGTCCCAATAGGTGCAATTGGGACTTTCTACTATAACCAGTGAAACATGCTGCCATTAGTTGGGCGAACTTGCAATGCAGGGAAGCACACTCATGGATTATGAAAAAAAAAGGTTTCATTGCTCAACTCTCGTTCATCTCAATAAACACGTGACAAATAAGGTAGTCGTGCGAGCAAGGGGGATGTGAAACAGGACCGCCTTGTTTCAAAACTATGTGGATCGTGTGAGACACGCCACACGGCAACAACAAATAGTTTCAAAAAAGAACAAGACACAAAAACAGTTAATGTGTGAGAAGAAGTCTCAGAGAATCACGCAACAGCGGCAGTGACGCGGCTGCGTCCCAACGCGACCGCGCAACGGCTGCGCCGCACCGCCATCGACATCGCCGTGAGCGTCGTCGTTTCTGGGCGGCTGAGGCGGCAGCGGCGGAAAGTAGGTGTGAATGCGGAGCTGGGGCATCCGCGCGTTGAACTTGCCCACGGCCTCGCGCGTGATCAGTTGGCAGTCGTAGAGGTCGACGCGCCGCAGCGCCGGGCAGCGGGACAGATACTCGAGCGAGGCCTCCGAGACCAGAGGGCAGTTGTCGAGCTCCAGAAGAGCGAGCTTCTCCAAGCCGATAGAGAGGTGGCGTATGCCTTCGTCGGTCAACTGCTCGCAGTGCGACAGGCTGAGCTTTTCGAGCTGCGGGCAGAACCCGGCCAGAGCGACGAGGGTGAGGTCGGTGATGTGGACGCACTCTTCGAGGTCCATGCGCTCGAGCGAGGTACAGTTGCGCGCCAGCGCCTGGAAGCCCACGTCGGTGAGCCGGGAGCAGCCGGCAACCTCGAGTGTCCTCAGAGACCGGCAGTGCTGCGCCAGAGCCAGCAGCGAGGCGTCCGAGATCTGGCCGCAGTTGGAGAGACCGACGTACGCCAGGTCCGCGCAGCGCGACGCGATCGCCGCCACTCCGGCGTCCGTCACGGCGACGCACTCGTTGAAGCCCACAGCGCGTAGGCGCGGGCAGCCCTCGGCTAGAGCCCGGCACGCGACGTCGTCCAGTCCGGGGCACCCCTTGGCTATGAGGGACAGCAACCGAGGGCAACCGCGCGCGATGCGGACGAAACCGTCGGGCGTCACTTGCTGCGACCAGGAGACGTCCAGGCGCTCCAGGTTGCGGCAACCGGTCGCGATGGCCCTCAGCGACCGGTCCGTCAGCTGGGCGCACGAGCCAATGTCCAGGTCGACGAGACGCGAGCAGTGGGCGCCGACGCTTTCGCACGTGACGTCCGTCACGCGTCGGCAACCGTTCAGCGAGAGAGCCTCGATGTTTCGACAGCGCGCGGCGAAGGCCTGCATCGCCGCGTCGCCGACACTCTGGCATCCCCGAAGTCCGAGCCGACGGAGAAAGCCGCCGCAGCGGGTCGCGATGTTCTGCACGACGGGGCCCTCGATGTCGCGCTGAAACTCGAACAGGTCGATGGACTGCCAATTGCTGCCGTCCAGCGCCAACACGTTCCACGCTTTGGAGACCTGGGCGCATCTGCAGAGCGAGACGACGTCGAGAAAGGAGAAGATCTTGAGGAGCAGCTCTCGGGGCAGCCGCCTGTCGATGAGAGCGACCTCGGCATTGTAGTCACCGTCGCTCGCAACATCGCCATTCGTGGTGGAGACGACGGTTTGTTCGCTCGTCAGAGGAGGCTTTGTTGTCGTCGTCGCCTTGGCTTTGCTCGGGAAGTTCATGGCACGCCGAAACTCGGTCAACCTGGCACGCATCGACCCCCCACGCGGGCTCCGGGAGCGCGATGATTCCTTTGTGTAACGCTACGGCACGGCCAAGCGGGCTTTTCCCTCCGTCACGGCCGAAGGTTCGACGACACCAACGACGCTGGCCCGCTCTCTCCGTCAACACATCGCCATGTTGTGCCGTCCGCGGTGGATGGCTCACAGAACAGTGGCGAAAGCGCCCCAGCAACAGCACGCGCGGCTTTGTTTGCATCCGTAGAAACACTGCCGGACGCGGGAGAGCGCTACGGTCTGCAATGCGCAACCCATCGGTTGTTTCTTTTGTACATTTCAACTACCGCGTCGCGCGACTGCTTACGCTACCTTGATCGAGTCTTTCAACATCACAAAAATTACTCCAAACCGCACAGTTTCGAGCCAGCTTGCGTTTTGATGGCAGCGTCACAGCAATCGCGGCTCTCTGCCGAAAACGACGACAGCGCCAGCGAAACGATCTGCGGTCGTCCCGAGCGGCTCAACCATGGCGTTACAAAAGAACCGGAGTGCGGTTGCTATGGTTGTGCAATCTTCCAATCGAAAACGCAAGCGTCATGGGACGAGAACCGAGTGCGCGCCGTAGTCGATAGATCGCGCTTCTGGACGAGTTACGCGCACGTCGGAACAAATTTCTCGGAAAATGCCGACGCCACGAAAGTCCAGAAATGCGCCAGAACCAGCACACTGAAAGTACCAAGGTTAAGCAAACTACCACGCTAACATCCATGCATGCAAGCGATACCAGTGCTGCAGGGTGACTGCGTCTAGCATTCCGGAAACACCCGGCGCTTTATAAGGTGCTTGGGAAACCCTGCACCACTTAAAAGTCAGCGCGAATCTTTGTAAACGATCTGACATTTATCGGAAAACGTACCGCGTCCACCCCAAACACAAAAAGCAATAACGCGGCAGAAAAAACGAGTCCGTGCAAAAGCGCACACTCACCGTGCTTGAGAACTATGATGCTGAAAGCAGTCGTTCTGTCGGCCGCCAGCAGCACGAAATCCTTGAAGGCGACTCCCACAAGACACTCCATGCTTTATTACGGTGAATCGGCGCGGTGCGGTTCTCTCGGTAAAGGAATAACACACGACAAAAAAATAAAAAGGTCGCCGTACAGATCAGTTTTTCACTACGACGCTTAAACACACGGCTAACACGGCGACGACTACCGGAAGCTCGCTAGCGCTCCCTGTCGCATTTATAACATTGCGAATTCTCCATTTCTCGTTAGCATATTTCTTTTTAGCAAAACCCTTTGCTTTTATTCTACATTTTGAATCAAGCTTATTGCAACCACGGCAAGCGGATTGCCTATAAATATAAATATCAAAGACTGTGTTTTTTGTACTCGTACGTCATAACCGCTATGCTTACGCACTAGAAAACTGTGTGGGGGCGTTGCAGTACTGCTTAGAAACCGAAACACGGGTTTACGTACCTGTGCCGCTAAGGCAGTCGACGTCCGCATCCCCGGCTGTTCCACGTCAACGTCAGTATTAGACACCGCGCATTCCACTTCTTTCTGTGGCTAACATTTTGATGCTCGTATACTCAACTCCAAATAGGCTGCACAACGTTCTCTTAACTCGCACGATTAGCCGTCGAATGAATGAAACCACAGTGTTGTAGGTGTGCGGGGCGTTCTCAAGTTTCGTGGCTGTATCGAGTCGATCAGATTACTCGCGCCAACCTCGTGAGCGCCGATAATTGACTCCCGGCGGAAGAGGATATTGCTAATTTTTCTTGAGAGGTTCTCGATCGTTAAACGCGCTGCACAGAGCGCGCGCTTCATCACGTATTCCGCTCGACAGCAGCGAGCCCTCGATCAAAGGTCGTTTCTTTTGATAGGTGTCATCGTGTGTGACGGAACGCTGCCGCAATGACCTCCAAGGGCAACATCTTCGTGACCGGAGGTGCCGGGTACGTCGGTAGCCACACCGTCCTAGAGTTGCTCAACGCCGGCTACGCTGTCGTCGTCATGGACAATTACCACAACGCTCATCCGGGTACGTACGGGTTGCTTGACGCAATAACTTTTTTTTTCTGACAGCCACTAAAGCTGCGTAGCGTAGCAGCAGTAGTGCTGTCGCTGCGCTGTCAGGTTTGCTTGTTTGTAGCAGCCAACATGTAGCGCGCGTACGTCGACTGATTTCATACGCGCGGGTCACTGCGCATGCGTGGCTGCTTGGAGCAGACGACACGCAGGCGGCTCAAACTTAGCTATTCTTTGTACGCACTCAAACGTGATCACGTGACCGTTAGAATTGTGTGTTTGTCACACATATGGAAGTGTGCATGGCAGCAATCGATTCCATTTTCACCTTCGATTGATTGAAAAGTGTTGTGAAAGTGTTCAAGCTAACAATTACCCTGCGAGACCTTATAGCCACTCTGAGATACTGAGGCTTCGAATAAAGACATTAGTAAATTTTCAAAGGTACGATAACGTTTCCGTCACATGATTGCACCTCAGTCGTCACAAGGAAAAAAAAAAGTGTGTAGGAAAGCCTTTGTCTAATGGAAAGGTCATGTCGTCTAAACAGAGCTGCTACTAAGAGAGTGATATGTGCAAGTCTTTATCCTTTTTTTTTTTCGCAGATAAGGAAGGTAAAATGCCCGAGAGTTTGCGGAGGGTTCAGGAGCTGACTGGAAAGGTGGTGACGTTTTACAAAGCAGACCTGAAAGACCAGACCTCCATAGACGAAATCTTTAAGAAGGCAAGTGTGCATCAAAGAAAACAATAGAGAAATGCACTGTATTAATGTCTGCATAATGTTCACATAGTACGTTTCACTGAGTCTACCACGACAGAAATGTGCGAAATTCAATATTAATATGTCATGCGCTTCTTAAGTTAAAAGTTCATATGCCAAAAGCTGTCACAATGCAAACGACAGGCAAGAAGGGCAAGATGTGTTTTTGCGATATAAAATTCATAAAGGGTGTGAGCTACAGCTGACATTTCGACAAAAAGACAATTCTTTCTCAAGGCTGCGAAGTCGTCAGAGAAGTTAATCAACTTCTCTGACGATTGATATGTGGGGTTTAGCGTCCCAAAACCACCACATGGTTATGAGAGACGCCGTAGTGGAGGGCTCGACCACCTGGGGTTCTTTAACGTGCACCCAAATCTGAGCACATGGGCCTACAACATTCCTGCCTCCATGCAGCTGCCACAGCCAGGATTCGATCCCGCGACCTGCGGGTCAGAGAAGTTCTTGTTTAAGTTCACACCCTGTCTCAAAGAACAGCAGTATGTTGCAAGTATGGCAGTACCACAACCAACAGGCAATGTGGGAAATTGTGTTTTGTGCATGAAATGTGATAAATGAATAAATATCTTGCGAAATCTTGTAAGCATCGGGGCTTGCAAAGTGTCAATATAATTGCATTGATCCAGTTACTATTCTCATCAATGCATCATATCGAAGCCTATGCTACTTAGGTTGATCAAGGGTTCAATATATTTGGCATCTAGCTGTAAAGTGAGAAAAAAAATGTAGCCATTATAGTGAAGATTTCTGATTTTACAAAAGCCCCACACAAACAAAATTAATGCTTTTCCGCTACATAAATCAACATTCACATTTGTGCAATTCATGAAAATGTTAGTGTGATAATCCACTAGACTGTAGCGAAACTTTTTTTTTACTTCACCATGCAGCATCACTTCGACTGCGTGATCCATTTTGCGGCGCTCAAGGCGGTTGGCGAGTCGTGGCAGATTCCGCTGGACTACTATCGTACGAACCTAGGCGGAACCGTGAACCTGCTCGATGTAAGTGGTGTACGCTCCAAACACGTTGGTACGTGCATAAGTTCACAAAGTAGTGCCTGCTTCCCTTTTGTTTGAGATGCGAAACGGAACACGAGCAGCTGGTTGCAGTCCTTATACGCTTGTGCCTGACACATGTTGCGTGAGTTGCTGCAGCTGCATTCGATGTGGCGCACTTAGGTCTTTTTATTTTTAGCACTGATATACAAGGCAGGTAAGAAGCAGGAGCGAGCGAGATTAGTATAACAGCCACATTATCCTATACAGAGTGTTGACTAACAAAGTAAAATTTTGGACTACAGTGATACCCTTGTTTTGGATAGAGAAGACATTAAATGGCTTTTGTGTGGGAAAATTTTACTTTTGACATTTGACGTACGAGTGGATGTACATTACAAAAACCCCACAAATAAATGGGCCTTTTCTACTGATGCTGAGACTGCCGACTGGCTGCCGTAACTGCTCACCAAAAAAATTGAGTGACCCGGGAAATTCATAACAACTTAGTGCTACCCAGCTTCAAATTGGAACTTTTGTTCTGTAACAGTTCTTGCAACGTGAACAGTGATTTGTTGAATTAGGAGCGACATGCTATGGCAAAGCAGGAAATCACATTTGTCATAGAATACATCTCCCATGTACTACATACCGTATTTTGAGGCGCATCATGTTATGCACACATAAGGTATGTAGGTCATCTGTTGTATGTACAATGTCTTGTTCATACCCATGTTGCACATGTTTTTTCCTGGGTGTCTTAGTAGCATTCTGCATCACTTAGCCATTACCTAATAATTCGGTATATAGTAGTCCTCAAGAGTCAAAACTGGCTTCATGTTGTTCTTTGTTAATTGATTCCCCTTGTTCTTTTAGTTTGAATGTTTGGTTACAATGTTTGGCATTACAAAAAATGTTTGTCGGAACATACGTGTCATCAGTCATTTCAAAGAAATTAAGTGCGCAGTCTTTACAGATATTTAGTATGCCGTTGCACCTAAACCAAGCCATCCCCCAAAGTCATTAAGCGTCCATTCCCACGACACAGTATGCCATTGTCGGTATGTCTGATATGCATGTCTTGGCACACAATATTCTAACGCCTCTCTCTCGTAGATATCGCTCATGACTCGCGAAAGTTCCGGCTACCTGGACTTATTGCATGCCTGAAACGCAGGTGATGAGAAGCCACGGGGTGAAGAGGATCATATTTTCCAGCTCGTGCACGGTGTACGGCGTGCCCAAGTACCTGCCCATCGACGAGGACCACCCGACGGGTCAGTCCTGCACCAATCCCTTACGGGCGCACAAAGTACTTCATTGAGGAAATGCTGAAGGATCTCAGTGCCTCCGAGGAGGTGAGCGTCCCTGCACAGGTCTGTGATTGGTGTAATTTTTAAGTGCAGCTTGAGAGTTTTGTGTTAACCTCTTCAATTCCTGCATCTGTCTTCGTGGACACGACTTAGGTAAATTACACACCAGAAAACTGATTGTGATAGAAAACATGCACCAGGTAAATCAAATACTAGAAAACTGATTGTAATAGAAAAACACGCACCTTCGTCGCCCAGAATGTCTTTCATCTATACTCCAAGAGCAAGCAGTGGAAGACAATAGTGGCTGGTGTACAAAGAAAAGAAAAACTGTGGCGGCCAGATCAATCAAGACATGGTGCTTAGGCTTAAAACTTTTTTTATATGAAGTAGTGTGAACAAAAGTTGGTCTAGATGAATCTTTTTAAAAATATTCAAGCCCTGAAAGCCAGCGATCACATTTACCAGCAGTGTTCGTGCCATATTCGCAACACAAGTCCTCGTTTGTGGAGACCTTTTCTTACCCTTGAAAATTAAACTTTTGTTGCAATGTCCTCTTTTGCTTTAGTGCCTCGTGGAACCACAGGAAATAAGGTTTTATGAACTGCATCTCTTTTTTTCCTTTTCTTTTTGCCTCATCTTTGGTAGTGAAAAGGCAACTGGTGGTCAATGTGAAGGCAGGTAGATAGAGAGGGTCAGAACCCTCTCAACTTCCCCCCAGTAACAGCCATGTTTGCTGCGACCTACTCTCTGTACCTGTTTACATCCCAGGGCTGGTCGATAGTGCTGCTCAGATACTTCAACCCAGTGGGTGCCCACGAATCTGGCTACATTGGTGAGGACCCCCAGGGCATACCCAACAACCTTATGCCTTACGTTTCACAAGTGGCTATCGGCCGTCGTTCGGAGCTTTCAGTCTTCGGCAACGACTTCAAAACCCGCGATGGCACAGGTGAGCTCAGTGTATACTTCTCTCATGAAATTGAGAATGAGGCTTCTCATTGTGCTAGTACCCAGACATGGCTGCAGTACCTAGACGTGTATCCAAATATGGCAGCACTGATAACGTCAGTAAACCATACTATAAAATACGCTTTGCTTTCCTTCTTGATGGTGACCATATTTACTGGCACAAGAAATAAGCCACACTTGTTTCTTTTCTCAGCACTTCCGGTTGAGTGCTTACTTCCAGTTTTTTAAATATTCGGAAATAGCGTTAAAAAACGAAACTGGCTCAAAATTGATGGTTCTGGTTCAAGCTGAGAGTTGTATTGGACAGATGATGTCACAGCATTAATTTACATAAGAGCCAATAAAGTTGAAGAATAATTAATAAAAATGAATTTGACGAGGTTATCGAAACAGCAGAAGATTTACTTGGGATAAATGCGGCACCTGGTTGACCAGATCTTCTTTGTACGTGGCCTCTGATATCAGCTGCGGCACCACATGAAACAAACAACTAAACCCAAGGAATACGTCAGGACACACGAACACCAACGTGTGGGTGTCACTACCAGACACCAAAGTTGAGGACTAGGGCTGGCTCCAGCTTTTTGTAGCAAGAGCTACACCGGCCATATTCTTGCCACTTCGCTGTGGCCAACGGCCACACCACGAGTTGAGTCATTGCCTAGCACCCTGCCATAACTGTGAACGCCACTTGCCGCACCATTTGGCGTGACAGCAGAGCAGAAGCCAGGGAAATTGTTCTGGAACAACAGAGCAGAAACTGGCATTGCATCGTGTTATTGAGAAGGAGCAGCTTGGTGGGATTCGTTGGTAGATATGGAAAGCGAGTCGGAAAGTTGAAAGAAGCCAGGCTTCGTCGTCAAAACCAAGAAAAGGCAGCAAGCCGAAGATATGGAAAAAGAACGAGACGCATGCCCGATAAGCCTACCCGTACAGAGAACCAAACTAGACAATAAGATTAACTACACTTTTCGCTATGCACATCCAGTCATAACCGAGTTGAGCCACAGCAAATTTTTTTCAACGTATCATTGCTCAAAGATTTGCCGCTTGATCTTCCTCTTGTGCTGTCTGGATTCCTCTTTTTCTGATCATTCTAGTCGTACTCGGAACATGGCAACAATAGTGATGTTGGCAAAATCTCTCAGTACTTACTGCACTAAATCGGCCCAGTTTGAATCATATGCTTATGTCTGGTAGCATTACGTCTTATGCTGCAAAAAGACGCAGATTAGTGTGATGTTTTTGTTTTTGGTGGCACGAGAGCTCCTAGCCACAAGGCATCATATGAAATGAAAAGGTGCACCGTCACGCTTGGCAACAAATGGCGAGCGAGGCGCAATTTTCATTTATATTCATTTGCACACACTTGTTAAGTGCTCTCTCACGGATGGAGGACGTCGCACAGTGCATGATGCCAGAAAAAAATATTTCACTCATTACACTTGCAGATGGCGAAAGAGGATACACGAATGATAAAATGCGAGCTGTACAGTCAAACTGGGATACATATAACAATAACAAATTCGACAAAGTAAACTTTTAAAAAATTCTCGTCGATATCACCAAGCAATAAGTATGTATATCTGTAGCCGATACATTTATGACGAATGAAATGCCATTATAAGGAAGCAACACACTATGATGACTGTGCAGGTGTCTTGTACGACAGTCGAAACAACATTAGCAGCACAATATATGTCTCACTAACCATAGCCAGAGCCCATAGCCAGAGCTTTTCATAGCAGCCACTTTTTCTGTAATTTTAAAAAGCCTGCGTTGCCAATAAAACTGCAAATACATGTTGTAGGTGGCCCGAACGTGTAAAACCTGTTAAAGAAAGTTTTGCAGGAAACTGAGGATGCTTTCGCTGCAATGCAGGGGTCCGGGACTATGTACATGTGGTCGACCTTGCGAAAGGTCATGTGGCAACCCTCGACAAGGTGATGGCTGGAAAGATCCAGGGATGCAAGGTTCGTTAATGTGACTCCTTCTTTTCGGAATGAATCGCAACAAATTGTAGACATGCTTAAATGAACCATTGCATTAAAAAATGCAAAGAAATTTTCAGGTTACAGTAACTGCATTACTGACTAGGTGTTCTCTTTAACAGAGGACCATACTGAACGTGCAGAATGATTCTTTATGAGAATGCTAGAATGCAAGCAATCCATGTTTCATTGAGATCATTCGCTAAATGTGTCAAACAAAAAGTGCTTACAAGACAGTTCCCGACAAAAGTTGCAGGAGGCAGTTTTGGTGCTTGTTTCTGCGAGCTGCAAAGTTATAACTTTCCGCACATTACACAATGCACAGTAAATACAACAGCTTGCAATAATTACACTTGTGCACAGAAACTGGTTGCCTTTTCCACAAAAAAAGTTTCTCTCATGCTTTGCCTGTCAATTTAAAGAGACTATGCTCTAACAGTCTGAATTAACTCAAGTACAAATGCTGTGCAACTGCATATATTACTCATAATTCGCACGGTAGCTGAATGAAACCAGTCCCAAGTAACACTCTTAATGGGACGCACCAGGGAACTCACTCTTACTGACCACTAACCTTTGCCACTGCTGTCCTTGAGATGCCACTGCATGTCAAATTCCAGAAAGCTGTTATCTCCCTGGTTTGCTCAAGTGCTCAACTGTTTTCTTGCTTTTTGGACCCCGTCTGTTTGCAGCCCTTCAACTTGGGCACGGGCCAGGGTTCTTCTGTGCTAGAGGTGATAGCAGCGTTTGAGAAGGCGTCTGGCATGAAGATTCCGTACAAGATAGTCGATCGAAGGCAGGGCGACGTTGACGAGCTGTACGCAATTCCCAACCTGGCCGAGAAGGAGCTCGGCTGGAAAGCCGAGAAGTCTCTCTACGACATGTGTGAGTTGCACTACTGTTGTCTTGGGATCATAATCATCTCAAACATAACAGTTGTTATCTAGGACACAAAAAAAATGTCCAGCCTTGCACTACTGGTGCAGGGCTGGACTACTGCAGAGCTTGTTGTCAACCGAGCTTCTGTTGGCTTCTAAAAGCTCGACTGAGTCACTGCTAAGTTTGAATAGGCATTGCAAGACTTGGCTATGTAGAATCTAGAACTGTATTGCTTGACGTGTCTTCATGGCTATGTGAAGTAAATTATTAATTCATTTTAATTAGCAATGCCTTAAAGTAACACTGACTGCAAAATTTATGCTTGTGACTTTTTTTACTGTATATTGTAGCCTTGTGTCTGGTGATGCTGAAGTTGAATCGTAAGTGCTCTAACATATTGTTTAAGTAATGCTAGCATTGCCAATTGTGACCAATTTAGCATCACTTCAGAACAAGCGTCTAAAACTGTGAGAATTTATCACACCCCAGTGGAAGACCGCCTAAGACTACACGCGCTTAATCTTTAGTGACGCTAACAGCAGTTCTCAAATTGGGGGCCCCACATGCAGTAGTAAATGAAAGCTTGTCTTTTCAGAAAAAAAACTAAGGTGTTCCTGTATTAAGCAGCCAAAACAGTTTACAGAAGAGCCTGACAACAGGGAGAGGGACTAGGAACAGTAGCCCTCATCTGGCACCAGTCATGGTATCTTGTGCACCCTGAGAATCGTCCGCAACGTCGACAACATTCACCTTTCTTGCGGAATGTCGCAAAGGGCCTTCTCTACATCCCACTAGTGCCGATGTGAGGAGCTGGCAGCCTGGATAATGTTTGCCACTAACAATTGCACAGAGCTGCCCACATATACAGGAAGATCAAATGCAAACATCTCAAGGTTTCAATTTTGAAGTTAAGGGTCCTTTAATGCTTAATTAACATGATTGTAATTAGCAAATAATTATGATTTTAAGAGGATGAACACAGCATGTGCTGGCCAAGCAACATGGTAAAAGGTAGAAGCCAAAGATAATGATCATGATAGTGTTTTGTTCACTCTCCATAGCCTAACCTTCAGCTTAAACATCTGAGCTGTTAAAATGCTATGTATTGTGATTAAATGGAGGAGTGTCCTATTCCAAAAATCCATCTGCACTATCTTGATGGGTAGTGTTCATTGCTAGCAGAGATAACTGATGTAAGTACAAGTGAGCTTATGTCAAGCTGGGGCTTTGCTTCCAAGGTATTCAACATCACCATAACTTACCTTCAAATCGGTTTAGAACATGCATTGTAGTTTCCTTGCATGTATTTCACATTATTTTGATGTGCTGGTTTACTTCATAATTTCATTTTTCAGTTTAGGGTAAATATCACTCTCAGAAATGTACATCAAGTGTTCAATACTTTCAAAACTATATATTGTGCAAAAAAAAAAAAAAGAGGCATACCGTATTTACTCGATTCTACCGCGCCCTTGATTGTAACGCACATTCGGTTTTCACGACGAAAAAAAAAAAAGTAACACATCGATTGCAACGCGCACCCATTTTTCTCGTTGCCCCCACGATCACACTACTCGGGAAAATGACTCCTTTCGGGAGCATATTCCGTTTAAATATGAGGTACGGGGGAAGCATGTGCCTATCTGACGTGCAACGGAGCATTGCCGTCACTCTTGTTTTACCGTGGCCCGATGTCAGCATGCGAACTTGCTTCGCCCCCTTCTTCACGACGGTTGTGGTGCCAGGCATGTCGAAGTACAAGAGGCGTCTGATCGGCATTCTCGATTTGCCCAAGCAGGTAGCCGTTGTTGTGCCGCAAGTTTAGGACGAACCTCTGAAAACTGTGAAACTTTTTAGGAGCGAAGCTCCTTAAGGCGTGGGCTGTGCGTCCCCTGTATGTAGCCACCTCTCGTTCAGTTCTTGCAGTGTTCACTAGATGGCGGTACTTGTAGCTGACGGCATTAAGTATTACGCTAGCCACCGCCCGATCTAAAGGGTACAGCCATATCCATCCGTCCATCCATCCATCCATCCATCCATCCATCCATCCATCCATCCGTCCGTCCATCCAAAAGATGCAAGATGTTATAAACTAGACGGCGGTACGTGTAGTTGATTATGAAAGATGCGAGGTGTTATAAAATAGGAATGATGCCACATATGACGCGTGTCATCGTTCGATATAGTGCGGCGACGTACGCTAGGGGGAGCGTTGCAATAAAATCGAGTGGGCAAAATGTACGGAGGATTCATGGTTTACCAGGTTTACCTCCGGAGCTTCGCCCACTCATCATCATTCACTTCGTGGATGTGGCGGCATTTTTTCTTTGTACTCCTTCGGCAAGTTTTGGCCCATGCCCGTTCAATTTCGGAGGGAAAAGCCTTTCCTCTTCATAAAGTTAGTTAGCCAGCACCTGCTCGCTTTGAACTGGCTCCGCGTTAGCCCTTTTTCTAAAGCTAATTGCATAGCCTGCACTTAAAGCAGATCTGTCGTCACTGGCTGCTGTGCCGCTCGCTGCTCAAGCACATACTCGGCGAGCAGCTCTTCAATTTGCGGAAACCGACCCTGCTGTGGTCCACTGAAGCCTTTGCGTGAATCTTTGCTGTCGACAATCTTCTGCTTTTGTTTCCGCCAGTCCCGCACGCACGTTTCGGGAACTCCGAACGACCGTGATGCGGTCCGATTTCCATCTGTTTCGGCACACGCGATGACTTTTCTTTTAAAAGCGGCATCGTGGTGCACTCGTCGAGTTTTTGGAGTCGGCCCTTCCATGCCGTCGATGCGAATGCACTACAAGATGACACTCCTCAGCACACGTACGAAGTGCCACACATGGGAAACACATAGGCAGAAATGGCCGACGCGCCATGCTGATGCACGTAGGGGGCGGCCATTTCGGAAATGCCAATGGCAATAGAACGACCGTATTAATTTTTTTCGCACTCGATTTTAACGCGCATGTGGTTTATGAACTCGCTTAACCGGAAAAAAGGTGCGCGTTAGATTCGAGTAATTACGGTATTTGAAATTAGCATGCAAATATTTATAAGCTAGGCAAAGTTACGAAAATTTATCAAGAAACAAATACTAGGATTTAAAGCACACCATCTCGCCATTACTTTTAGGTAACCACGGCCATCAGTTATTCTGCAGAATTCTTTTATTATTAAAGATAAGTGAAATAAACCATTGTCGTATGACCAATATGTTGCATTTTATTTCCAGGCAAGGATATGTGGAACTGGCAGAAGAAGAACCCAAATGGCTTTCTAGAAACGACAAACTAGTTGGCGGATGAATGGTAGTGCATGTGCTATGCGCTTGACCATTTACATTTTTTGTTGTTTCTTCTCAGTTTATAACTTTTTTTTTTCTCGTTCTCAGTCGGGATCTTCAACATAGTCAGGGTTGTGCCGTGATCTTTCGTTGACAGACCTTTAAAAAAGGTCACAAGAAAAAAAAGAAAACCAAAAGAATGCTAGTCGCATCTCCAGAAAAAGAGAATTGTTTTTCTTTTTTCTGGTTGTGTCACTGTCCGCTGTGGTCAGACCATGTTCCATGGAACTTAGAAGTTTTCTCCTTTGTTTGTTATTGTTGATGCTTTTTGTTTTGGACACCGAGCCCAAACGACTTCCCAATTTCCTGCACCTAGTCGGATCAGACCAAGTTGCCCGTCTAGTCTCTTCAACTGTGCCAAAGACCATAGGGTTGGCGATGCATCTAACGTTCGCCGTTAGTCATCATATCAGTTGTGATGGCAACTGATGGAGCATCGCTTGAATACTATTTTTTCAACATTTTTATTACTTTGCATATTTATGGTCGCCGTTGATAATAACTGCAGGATTGTCTAAGAAATCATTCTTGCCAAATTATTTTCGAAACATCAGCATTTGATGTCAGTGATGCTTTTTTTGTTATTGTTTCTGTTTACTAAAGGAAGCAAGTTCAGTGCTTAATTTTGTGGTGGTTGCGCTGCGAGAAACAAAAGAGGGGTTGTATAAACAAAGCACATTGATGTTATTTCCTACAAAAATTACAATGTTGTGAAGTGATAATGGTGTTAATCGTGGAGCGATCTCCTGGTGCCAGTCGCAACATCAAGTTTACACTCACCATGGTAATCAATACATGGTAATTGAAAAAATAGAGCATTGTATTACTTTGTTTGCTGATCTTCAATACAGATTAAATCCATAATGAATTAATCTAGATTACAAACCAAATCATTCTCATTACACACGAATCATATGTTATTGATTGTAGGCGCTCAACAACCGCTTTTCATGAAAGTCTTATCGTTTTGCTTTGTTGTCCTAATGTAAAGCTTTTCTTGGTTGTTGCTTCAATCATTTCCAGCATTTTGCATGTACTGCATGCGTACAAAGGCAAAAAGTACTGTTTTATGCATTTCCTGTGCTCCTCTTTACATAGCCTGGAACAGGTCTCGCTTTTTTGTGTGTGTGTGTTGAGCAGTGTTTTTTTTGGAGCAAGCCGTAATGGTCTTCGAAAAGTCATTTTTTCTGTCTGCTAGGTATTTTATAGATCACCTGAAGGAGGTTTCCAATAATATTTTTATTGTTTTGTAATAAACTATTTTTTTACCCGTGGCAGACGGCCTTTTGTAAAGTGACTTTTTGACATCCTCAAGCACTTCGCTGCACATTTTTACGCAAAAGCATCTGGGGCATTGAACAGTTTCCGACTAAAAAACAACTTCATCAAACAGTGTATGCTCAAGCCTTGATACAACAAAACCGGACATTACGAAATATCAGCTATAAGAAAGTGAATGAAGAATAGTCTTGCAATAGTGTTATGAGTATACCGTTGTAACAAGTTATCACATATAACAAAGTCATGCTAACGATGCCTTGTATGTGGCCAAGAGTAAATCTCATTACAGATGAACGCTAATGCAGATAATGGCAGTGCGACAATGAACAACAGAAGCAATAACAAGCTGTCAAGGGTGGGTCCAAAATCGCCTCGGTCAGTGGTTCTCAGCCATGGATGTGTCGGGACCCCTTGTGTACCTGCCTCCCTCCCTTGCAGCAGAGGGAAGAGAGGGGGTACGTGGATAAACTAAAATACAATTGGAGCGTGAAACAGGTCCCTTGTATTGCTATCAAAACATCAAACAAACATGCCACATCACTTCATTTTGCACAGTTCATCAATGCGTGGCACAGTCACGCTTAAAAAAAATGCGGGTGAGGATTTCGCAGATCATGGAAATGGCTTCGTGAACCCCCATTTGAGAACCATTTAGGTTATGTAAGATAGAGCGCGTCATTATGTCGTAAAAGCATGAGAAATGTATAGAATAGTTAGATGCCTGATACACTCAAACCTCTTTATAACGATTTACACAAAAATAAGTTTGTTATATCCAAAAATTTGTTATATAGATATATTTCTAATCCTATATTTATAGCAAGACTACTCTTCATTTACTTTGTTACAACCAATACTTCGGTATGCCTGGATTCGTCATATTGAGGTTTGAGCGTAGTTAGTTATTACACATTTACCTTGCTAGTTGGTTGCTGTAAAAGTCTAGGTAAACACAACTGCAGTCTTATGTCAAGGAACCATGACAAAAGATGTAGAGGTAGTCCTTGAAATAGATGCCTTGATAGCTAGCTATTACAGATTCTCACTGATTAGTTGGTTGATAGCTGTGACCAATGTCGTAAAGGTGTCTTCAAAACATTCTTGTAGCCTCTGCTGCTCTGTCAAGCTGCTTGTTCACCTCAAAATGACTATCATTTGCAAAAGCATGCAGCATGAGCAGAAAACATGCTACAAAGTGCGACATATGTTGCACACTTACGTTCATGAAAAATGGTAAATGCGTAACTATTTCAACACATGAAAATTACACGATACTCACTTAACCTTGCATGCATTCCCAGCTGAATCACGGTGTTCCAAACTTCAGCAAAAGCCAGAAATCCAGTGTATTGCACATTAATTTAGATTTTCTTTAACACTGATGTGAATGAAAACACAAATACACAAGAAAACTAAAACGCAATGAACTATGTAACAACAAGAAAACAACTATATTAAAAAATTGACGGCATATCTGTGGGCTTCACTGCAAATGTCATCGAAAGGCCAAGCGGCCATTTACGCTTCACCTTGCCTCAGACAGTGCCTCCTCTATGTTGAGTCGGCCACTCTATGTTGAGTCGGCCACATCTCTGGCATCAATAAAATAGAGGAGGCGCAGTGTAAGATATGGATGCTATCTGGCATTGTCATTGGGAAATGCGAGCTTGTGCAGAACCCAGGGCCACTGCCCGGTGGCAGCATTATATCGTCGGCAGAGCACTTTTTGTGCATAGCATGGCATTTTCAGGGCAGCATAATATACACTCGAGACTTTAGAATTACATATCTGCGTATTTTGTAGTAAAGGAACACAATACCTAATACTTACACATTGATGTTGCACTGCAGATAAGCATAATATTTGCTTTTTGATTGACAATGTTCACAAGTATGAACGCAGCCACCAAAGTCACCAACAAGTGCTTAAACATTGGCCTGATGGCTGAATCGTGTGACAGACAGCCCAAAATATCTGTAAGCAAGAATCACAAGAAAGACTATCGTCTTTCAAAAACAAAAATATCCATGCCCTTTTAATGCTATCACTCAACAGGTGCAATAGTGATGAAATTTAGGAGCTTTGTCCTCTGGTGAAATATTGCAATTCAAGGAAACCTAAAATGTTTTCTGGAGCACACCATTAGCCATAAAAGAGAAATAAATTCTGTTTCAATTCATGAGTATAAAACCGAAACGTAGTGAAGGAACAGGTCTGAACAAAGTTCATATTTAATTCAATTTCAGCAACAACATTTTAGCAACCCGTCCTCCATGAACTAGTACTCATTTTCTGCATTTCATATTTACACATATGTACCGTGCCACATGGCCAAAGTAAGGCAATGATTGCAGCAGCTTCTGAGGTTGTGATACCTTAAAGCTTAAAGCAGCGATTATCAGATTATCACCCCCTTCCCCCATCACTTTCCTTACTAAACACTTTTCACAGACACTCAGTTCTAAAAAAAAAAAAAAAAGATTTTCTCATACAAACAATTTTGGTATAGTTCCTACTATCTGCCAAGCTAAACGTTTCCAAGGATTGTACATTATTTATGATTACATCATGTTCTATGCTAGTAACTTGCATAATGCAGATGTTAAACGCATAATATAGATGTTGCTAGTAAATGCTGACATCAATAGTTTAAATATGCTCTTTCAAAGCACGAAAATAATATTATTCTACAGGTATAGGTAGATTATTAAGAAAATTTACATGACAGCTGACTACAGCATAATGTTATCTTCTCAGCCATCAAAATACGATGACTTTTTGCAGATTTTGTTGTCTTGTGGCACATACTCTATGTAGTATGTGGAGTACCATACAGAATCAAGCAAACAAACAAACCAAACATGAAAATTGCACTGATGGGTTTGCGATGCATTTAAAACATAGAATAGAGATATTTTGACACTATAATAAAACAAGAGTATTGGACAAAGTTTTGGAGTGAAAAGAAAATTTACCAGCAGTAATGCGTATCGTGAATGTATTTAGGCGAGTTTTGTCTCGTAGAATATAACACATTAAATGCTAACATGCATACATCCCGACTGTAGTTAATACCAATCATCTTGATTAAGGATCCTAAATTTAGCTCATGTGTGTGCACTGAAACAGCTTTTTGAACCTATCTTCGCACAGTGGCAAAGTGAAAGGTGATGGGGTTTGATAACCTTCAGTTAGGCTGAATTGACCAAAGTGACGACTTGACAATTTTGTAAAGTGGCAAGTCCTCATCAGATTTTGCTTCGGATGCGAGTTATGACTTTGGCAACAATTACTACATACTATCTGCTGTGCTTTTCTAAAGCCCCAGCAACTCGATCAAAACATACACCTTGAGTTGTGGAGAGCAGCCTGATGCAGATCTGCGCCAAATATGAACCTACAATGAGGCTTCACATCGGCATTTGCTGTCAACCAAGCTATGCGCTGGACAGCAAGGCAATATTCATCAGCATCGGTATGCACGACTGTTACTGTTGACGAGAGGACATAGCTGCTTATCCACAGCACAAATTTGGGATAAATCGATATGCCCTTTGATTTTGGCTCTTTGACAAAGCTGAACGTCATGACAAGATTGATATTCAAACAGTGCAGTAAGTGATGCAAGTATACAAATTAAAAAAATGTTTAAAGACAGTATGCTGTCTTCATGCACCTTAAAAAACGTAAAGGTTAGGCCATCTGGGCAAGATGAATGTACAAGTGCAATACACAATGTGAATGTAGTGTCGCCACGTTCTCGACAGCTACTGCCCCCCCCCCCCCTTTTTTTACATCTTTATGCTTATTTACTTTTGGTTCCTAAGATGCCAGCGATTTTCCTTTCTTGACATGTATCGCAACAGTTGAATTGGTATCCCTACTTGAAACTAGCTGACTCATCGTATCAGCCATACAAGCAACGCTTATGCTCATCTGAATATGCGCCATCAATCACACTTACCAGGGGGACGATAGCACGTAATGAAAGTTCGTGAGAGACTCGGAAAGTCCATCGACGGGGACGCTTCGAACGACAGCTCCACTTACGGCAGAGCGTTGTCACTGTGTTGCCTGATGCGCGGCGCAGCTCTCTACAACAGCGTGCTTCCCAGTCAGCGTCACGTCTTGGCTGGCTGGAGCTTGAGTGAGGCCACGTTGAAGCCGTCACCCGCGTGTTTTGCAACGAGTCTCAACATGCTGCGCTTCTTGGCGGCTGCCTCGGAGGACTGCAGCTCGTAGAGGGTGCAGACGTTGAAGAGGTAGCCCTCGTGCAAGCAGAGAGCGGGGTCGCCCTGCATGGTCGACTCGAGCAGGTGGACGGACTCGCTCAGTCGGCCCAGGTAGAGGAGGCAGACCGCCATGTTGTTGATGAACTGCATGACGATGAAGGGTAGGTCCATGTCGAACACTGCTCGCCGAGTGGGTAATGCTGTTTAGGCTTGTGCGAATATTCGAATGCTTCGAATATTCAAACAAATAGTTGAGTATTCGAATTCGCTTCGATTTGAATTTAAATGATAGAATATTTTCGAAGTATTTGCAATGAACGAAGAAGTGTATATTAATCCGCATGTCACCACCTGTAAAGGTGGTTTCGCTGCAATGTAAAAGTGCTAAGCTGTGAAAGCACGTATACAAAAGACATTCGCTTTGCCACGAAGCCCCTTTTTAAATTTAAAGGGGCTCTGCAAGACTTATTCAACGTGATCAGAAAACGCTGCCGATTGGTAGTCGAGGCTACCGAGAATATGCGAGGCAAATATTATAGTGGAGCACGCAGCCTTTAATTCACAATAAATTTTCAAATCTAGAAATTGCTTTCTTCCCTCGGCAAATGACTACAAGCTCAAAAATTACTTGTCACAGCCAGGAAGGAATATACGGCTCTGGTCACAGCCACTGGCTGATTTGAGCATGGCATGCTCGTCGTTACTGAGGCTGCCACTTGTCCAAGAGTACGTGCGCGATTGCACTGAAAGTCGCGTATTCGAAGAAAAAAAAAAAAGGTGCTCAAGGTCACGAGGTGCGTGTGACGTATTTTATTTCGACGTGCCATTTCTCCCTGCTTAACTTCCAGCTATTTCGTCGGGTCGAGAAGAGAGAATGCAATTGCAGCATGCGACAAATTTTCGGAACTCCGCTCATACTGGAAAAATACTTGAATCTTTGCGGCGGTAACTTTGTGAGGCAACTAGCATGTTTACTGGCTCCATGGCTATTTGAAAAAGTGTTGCAGGGCCCCTTAAAAAGAACATGTTACGCTCAAATCAATTCATTTTATTAAGCTTGTTATGACGGCTTATATGCTCCAAGTAGAATAAATTTTAAAACGATAAGTATCTTACAGGTTATCACTCGCATTTTACTGAAACTACTACTGAAGGTTGTTTGGACTTCCTTTGATGAAAAAAAAAAAAAAAAAAACTGGCATTTGCAGAGAGCCCCTATTTCAATTCGAAAGAAATATAGTGCAGGTTAGTTAGGGCATGATAAATATTCCTTTTTTTTATTACATGTCATACATACCATTCGAAATCGATTCGAAATTATTCAATCAAATACGCTATTCGCTTTGAACCTAAAAGTCACTATTCCCACAAGCATAATGCAGTTATAAAAACGTTGCACCTTGCTTTTTTTTGTTGTTGTTGTAATAGAGAGCTTATGACCAACTTATCACGACTGGAAACCTCGGTTGCGTGAGTGTGCGACGGTTACTTATTTAGACTTTTTTAGAACGCCCAGTCCCAGTTATGGTTTCGGAGCAGTTTCGGGGGCACGGAAATCACGGCTGGCCACGTGACCACGCAAAACTGCGATGTGGGCGCTGCGCATGAGAGCGCGGCAGGCCACATCACAGCCCAGCCAGCACACGCGAAGCCGGAGGCACTCGCGTCTACTGCGGACCTAATAAAGTTGTTTCATCATTGGGTGTTCCAAATCGATTAGAAGAAAAGTTATGGTATGCGGAACATTTTCCAGTGAAATCCTTGCTTGAAATTGACTCACTCACAAATGTTCACCACACCATAACTTTTCTTCTAATGCATTTAAAACATCCATTTTGTTGCACTGCAATGAGCTCTGATTTCGGATTATCGTGATATACGTATTTACTTTGTAGCTCTCTCAATTTAGAAAAACACTTGCTCCCCAAAAGGCTCATGAAATGTTTTGTATCTTATATGTATTTTATATACTACACCTTACACAAGAAGAATAATTGCATATTTGAAATCAGCACACAAACATACATAAAGTTTCATCGAAATCAATGAAGAAACAAAAATCTTGAAGAGCAGTGGCTCCCCTAACACCACAGCTGTTTAAGCTGCCATTCCTACACAATTCGTGCACAGTGCCTATCATCCGAAACGGGTATGTGCCACAGGATGAGACCCACTAATGATTGCAACAGGTGCCGAGACAAGGAGCCACAAAGATGAAGAAATAAATAATAAAAAATAACACTTTTTTTTTTTTTTTTTTGCAGAGGCGAGGTTAAAACTTGAATACCCACGATCCGAAGGCAAGCGTCGTGTCCGCTCGACTATTCAGTCATGGTAGCAGAACAAACGTTTATTGAAACCACATGATAGCATCGCTATGGGCGAGAGAATGATAAAGAAAGACGAGAGGAATGAAAGAGAAAGAGAGACATAGTAAAGCGCTATACAGTATAGCAGGGGGGTGGAACAAGGAAGTGATGGTGAAGATGATTGATATGTGGGGTTTAACGTCCCAAAACCACCATATATGAGAGACGCCGTAGTGGAGGGCTCCGGAAATTTGACCACCTGGGATTCTTTAACGTGCACCCAAAACTGAGCACACAGGCCCACACCATTTCCGCCTCCATCAGAAATGCAGCCGCCGCAGCCGGGATTCGAACCCGCGACCTGTGGGTCAGCAGCCGAGTACCTTAGCCACTAGACCACCACGGCGGGGCAAGTGATGGTAAAGAGAGAAACAAGGAGGGGAGAGGGGAAAACCTAGTATATAGCCATGTACACCACAGTATAGCATGGGGCGAGAAATGGAAAGGATGAGAGAAAGAAAAAGGCTACCAGCTATGCTGTGTTCAGTCTTTGCACTAATATAACGTAGCTGCCCCACCCTTTTCATAATCAAGTGTTGGGAAGCATGTCCTGTTGGTGTAAGCGCACAGTTGCTATTGATTATTTCCTGCCAAAACCCATGGCCGGCAGCATTCCCACCAGTGCCCACCATTGAGAAAACTCTGCCTGTGATGCATGTCATGCAGTGAGGTGGGATTTCAGGAGGCGCACAAGCTGTGCAGGAAAGACTAACATCATTGGAGGCAAGAGTAAATAATCTTAACAATACATACTTTAATAGACGCTGTACTGAAGTTAACAAGTTGTGCATGCAGCATTTGGTTTACACCCTGCTCGTTCCCTCTGTGTTAACAGCAGGACTACAGGTTTATGAGCCTCTATTATGCCCCTCTTTGATGGCTCCTTTGGAGTAATGAAAGGTAATCTTGAAGGCCATTCTCTTTGTAAACTGCAGGCACAAGAAACGTGTTATGCAAACCATGCTTTGAAAGACATCTAATATCATAAAACACGGTGAAAAGCTGACCATTCAAATGCAGGCACAGCAACAGCAGTTGAGACAATTTCTGTGCAGTGTGACGTAGAAAGCCCATAGCAAATGTAAGCTTTTTCTCAGAAAATGTTTTGTTATCACTTTGTTTTGTAGCACCACATCTGGTTTGTTCCCTATATTGTTAGTGGAGGTTGCGTTGTGCTTAGATTCATTAATCACTGAACAAAACCTAGAAGAACTCAGTAGACTTTTAGCAAAGCCAAAATGAAAAACGCAGTATAATACACACAATGAACAGTACTAATTCATACTCTGCTAATGCAAAATTTTGGCTAATAACAAAGAAGAATCTGACAGCCTTGATGAACAGATGACATTCCATAAATGATGGTGATATATTCATAAACAAGCTAGGTAAAACCTGCAGAGCTGTAAAAACTCACCAGTGGATTCTTTGGCTGCAGCTTGCTGGCCTCCTCATAATAGCGATAAGCCTCTGCATAGCTGTTCATAGCCAAGGCCATTGTGCCTCTGCGCACAAACAAATCAAAATGGAATGTGTTACGTACAGAGTGCCCTTACCCACCGCACATTCAGTGCCAGATCCGCTAATATTTATTTGCTATATTGTGTTAAGTGACATCCATAGAAAGCTCTTCAATTTAGTCTAACATATTAAAAAAAAAGTGCAAGTGTATCAGGATAATGCCAACTGAGCTTGCGAGCTTGTTCACTAGTTGCTTATGCCAGCTCCAGTGACTGTGACTGCAATATCATGCTGCAATTTGTTGTTAGTCTATGAAACCTGTCAGTAAACAGTGATCTGCTGATTAGATGGCATGGATGACAAGTGACCAATTGCTCGCCTTTCCTCAGTCAGCCAATCAGCATGTGTTAATAGCGATATCTGGGACCCTGAAGACTCACTTGTTGATGAGAATTTCGAGTCTTCCCTCCAGTGCCATGCTGTGGTACAGGGCCTCTGCTTTGTGAAAATGGCTTTGTGCAGTTTCCACGTCCCCAAGCTGTAACAGAGCAGTAATGACGAGAGACGAGAGGGTCGATGGTTTGTTGCCTAGAAGAATGTCAGTGCTTTTTTCACAATTCACTCATTGCATTGCATTCCTCATAAGTGTGATAAGTGGAGTGCGCGTTTAAAGTGTGCGCCTTGAAAAAGTGAGCAACACGAAAATAATGAAGAACGCGCGGATGGTGGTCGAGGTAGAAGAAGACGATGGTGACGATATAAAGAGCGAGAGCACGAGGACGCACAACGAGGCGTCAGTAAAACAAAGGAGAAGACATGCGATGAAAAATAAACACAAATATTTCAAGGACCAATGGCTGGGCACCACGAAAGTGAAGAATCTCCAATAAAGACGGGACAAGTTGGTCAAAGGAGAAGGAGAAGCCTGAGGAGAGCAGAGCAGGAAAGTTCTAACAGGACGGGGGCACGGGAAAGGTGGTCACCGGACCGGGCGCTGAAGATGGACCGTCAGGCGTCGGACCCAAGCCTCCAGGACTTCAACCGGCCAGGGCCTCCTGTCGTCGCGTTCCCGCTCGAGGGGACCGTAAAGCCATCCGGTGCTTAACGCTTGCCCAGAGCCTGCTGAATCAGTGCCGTCAGGCTAGCAACAGCCGTCGGGCTACGGGCCCGAGCTGTGCGCCCAGCTTCCTGGCCAGGTTGACCCTGGTTCCTTGACGTGCCACCAGCAGGCAGCGTTCTCTCGTCACCGACGTTTCCACTCTTAATGCCAGGGCCACCACATTCCGGTCTGGTTTCAGGACGCATCGCCAGCTTCAGTGTTCTCTCACCACCGACAAACCTGGGTCCTAAGGCCGGAGCCACCACGTTTCGGTTCGCTCATTGTTGCCGGAATTCAGCGTGTGGGTGAGACCGAACTGATATTTTGCACTACCCTGCCACTCACCGGGGTTCGAACTGAATAGCGTAGTTCTGTTAATTGACTTGCACTTTGGTCGTCATTTTCAGTGTTTTACCGCGTCCAATCAACAGTTTATTATGTGTTTCGGTGTTGTGGGGATTTTCGTTTTTTTTACCTTTCTAATAAACTTTCTTGTGTGGGTTTTCTTCGAAACGAAACAGCTTTGTCCTTACTAACAAAACTCTCGGAGGCTCAGCCCAGGAGAAACAAATCAGCAGCAAGAACCTGCATCACAATAAGAAGCTTTTGGCACCTGTAATTGCTTCCTTCTTTGCTCTCTGCAATCTTTGACTTTTTCATGCTTACCCTTGTGCATAGTCCAAACTGTTGAATCGTTTCTCTGAAAATCGCCAGTCATCATGATCACTGCCACAAACCACATTAAGTCCACTGAAGTACTGATCCCTCTCGTCTGCAATCTACAATCGTTCCAGTTCTGGGTCTGCCCGCTTCATATCAAGCTAGCAAAATTTCTTTATGTCGTCATGCATCTCATCATCTGCTACCTCGTACTGCATTCAAGTTTCCATGACAACTTTATTCCATTCCAATGCTTGAGATCTAATGCGCACGTTGCATGACACGACCAAAGCCACTAGACTCTTTAACTTTGCTTAAAAATATAATCTCACTTCTTCGTGTCTGGCTCGTAATCTATATTTATCTCTTTTGATTCCTTAGTGATTTTTGTGCCATTCTCCTTCGATCACACACACCACATCCTTAGCCACTTCAACTTTTCTTAATTTCAATACAGACATCAAAAGTGCATGCCACTTCCAGACCTGCTGCAACGCTGCTACAATACCCACAGTGTATGCCCAACCATTTCTGCAGAGGGTTGGAACATTTTCAGCAACCCAATAGATGTGTGTGCAATATGCTTGAAAGCAACAATGACAAAGCCAAGTAGATTCATTACTGTGCCCTAAACGAATGGCTTAGCTGCAGAGCCAGGACAGCACTATGACTTTAGCTGCTAGTACGAGTTTTTGACACACAAATACAACTATTGCTACAAAAAAGTTGTGCCACAAGAAAAATAGCGACAATGGCAAAGTATTGATTTTGATTGATTGATTTGATTGATATGTGGGTTTGATTTGATTGATATGTGGATTTGATTGATATGTGATTTGATTGATAAGAAGCGGCGGACACTTTTTGAATTTTGAGAATAAACGTTATTTTGTTTTGCTAGCGCAGATCAGCTATATTTGTTTCGATTTCACTACAACGAAATTTTCGCTCCAACGACATTTTTTCAGTGCCCCGTCAGTTTCGTAATACAGTCGAACCCCGCTACAACGAAACTAACGGGGCGCGAAAAAAACTTTTGAAGCAAAAATTTCGTTCTAGTGAAATAGAAAAAATACAGCTGATCTGAGCTAGCAAAACAAAGCAACGTTTATTCTCAAAATTCAAAAAATGTCCGCTGCTTCCTATTCTTTCCCAGCAGCATCATGACGCGATTCTCACCCATACATAGCGAGGCCATGGTGAAAAGCACTCTGAAACAAGGCCTACAACCGCTTTCGTTGATTGATATGCGGGGTTCAACGTCCCAAAACCACTCTAAGATTATCAGAGACGCCGTAGTGGAGGGCTCCGGAAATTTCGATTGCCTGGGGTTTTTTAACGTGCACCCAAATCTGAGTACACGGGCCTACAACATTTCCGCCTCCATCGGAAATTATCAGAGACGTCGTAGTGGAGGGCTCCGGAAATTTCGATTGCCTGGGGTTTTTTAACGTGCACCCAAATCTGAGTACACGGGCCTACAACATTTCCGCCTCCATCGGAAATGCAGCCGCCGCAGCCGGGATTGAATCCCGCGACCGGCGGGTCAGCAGCCGAGTACCTTAGCCACTAGACCACCACGGCGGGGCGACAATGGCAAAGTAGTGACAGCAGCAAATAGTGATACTTTCAAGCCTTTAACACTGGTAGAATAGTGACATTGGCAAAGTTGTGCCACTGACAAAGTAGTGACACTTGCAAAGTAATGATAGTGGTCGAATACACCCACTGACGAAGTAGTGAAAGTGGGAAAATACACTCAAACCTCAATATAACGAACCTGAATAAACAAAATATCAGTTATGATGAAGTGAATGAGGAATAGTCTTGCAATAAAAATATAGTGTTAGGAATATACCTTTATAACAAATTTTTGTATATCATCATCATCATCATCAGCCTGACTATGTCCACTGCAGGACAAAGGCCTCTCCCATGTTCCGCCAGTTAACCTGGTCCTGTGCTTGCTGCTGCCAATTTATACCCGCAAACTTCTTAATCTCATCTGCCCACCTAACCTTCTGTCTCCCCCTAACCCGCTTCCTTTCTCTGGGAATCCAGATAGTTACCCTTAATGACCAGCGGTTATCCTGTCTACGCGCTACATGCCCGGCCCATGTCCATTTCCTCTTCTTTATTTCAACTATGATATCCTTAACCTCCGTTTGTCCCCTAATCCACTCTGCTCTCTTCTTGTCTCCTAAGGTTACACCTACAATTTTTCTTTCCGTTGCTCGCTGCGTCGTCCTCAATTTAAGCTGAACCCACTTTGTAAGTCTCCAGGTTTCTGCTCCGTAGCTAAGTACCGGCAAGATACAGCTGTTATATACCTTCCTCTTGAGGGATAGTGGCAATCTACCTGTCATAATTTGAGAGTGCTTGCCGAATGTGCTCCACCCCATTCTTATTCTTCTAGTTACTTCAATCTCGTGGTTAGGCTCTGCGGTTATTACCTGCCCTAAGTAGACATAGTCTTTTACAACTTCAAGTGCACTATTACCTATCTCGAAGCGCTGCTCCTTTCCGAGGTTGTTGTACATTACTTTCGTTTTCTGCAGATTAATTTTAAGACCCACCTTTTTGCTCTCCTTACTCCGTAATCATGAGTTGCAATTCGTCCCCTGAGTTACTCAGCAATGCAATGTCATCGGCGAAGCGCAGGTTACTAAGGTATTCTTCATTAACTCTTATCCCTAAATGTTCCCATTCTAGGCTTCTGAAAACCTCATGTAAGCACGCGGTAAATAGCATTGGGGAGATTGTGTCTCCCTGCCTTACACCCTTCTTGATTGGTATTCTGTTGCTTTCTTTATGAAGCACAATGGTAGCAGTTGATCCCCTGTAGATTTCTTCCAGAATGTTTATATATACTTCATCTACGCCTTGATTCCACAGTGGCCGCATGACGGCTGATATTTCTACTGAATCAAATGCCTTCTCGTAATCTATGAAGGCTATGTATAGTGGTTGGTTATACTCTGAGCATTTCTCTATTACCTGATTGATAGTATGAATGTGGTCAATTGTTGAGTAGCCTGTTCGAAATCCTGCTTGTTCCTTTGGTTGATTGAATTCTAATGTTTTCTTTACTCTGTTAGCAATTACCTTTGTAAATAGCTTGTATACTACAGAGAGCAAGCTGATCGGCCTGTAATTCTTCAAGTCCTTGTCATCTCCTTTCTTATGTATTAAGATGATGTTAGCGTTCTTCCAAGACTCTGGTACCCTTCCCGTCAGGAGACACCTCGTAAACAGGGTGGCTAGTTTTTCTAACACAATCTGTCCTCCATCTTTCAGCAGATCTGATGTTACCTGATCCTCACCAGCAGCTTTGCCTCTTTGCATGCTCTCCAAAGCTTTTCTGACTTCTTCTATCATTACTGGTGGGGTGTCATCTGGGTTACTGCTAGTTGTTATAGTATTAAGGTCGTGGTTGTCTCGGCTACTGTACAGATCTCTGTAAAACTCCTCCACTATTTTAACCATCCTATCCATATTGGTAGTTATTTTGCCTTCTTTGTCTCTTAGTGCATACATCAGACTTTTGCCTATCCCAAGTTTCCTCTTCACTGCTTTGACGCTTCCTCCGTTTTTCAGAGCGTGTTCAATTCTCTCCATGTTATACCTTCTTACATCGCATACTTTATGTCTATTAATCAACTTCGAAAGCTCTGCCAGTTCTATTTTGTCTGTTGTACTTGACACTTTCATGCTTTGACGCTTTTTAATTAGGTTCTTCGTTTACTGGGAAAGCTTGCCAGTGTCCTGTCTAACTACCCTGCCTCCAACTTCCACTGCACACTCCGTAATGATACTCGTCAGATTATCATTCATTGTATCTATGCTAAGGTTGGTTTCCTCACTAAGAGCCGAGTACCTGTTCTGCAGCGACACTCTGAATTCTTGTACTTTCCCTCTCAGTGCTAGCTCATTGATTGGCTTCTTGCGTATCAGTTTCTGTCGTTCCTTCTTCAAGTCTAGGCGAATTCGAGACCGTACCATTCTATGGTCACTGCATCGTACCTTGCCAACCACTTCCACATCCTGCACGATTCCTGGGTGTGCAGTCATTATAAAGTCTATTTCGTTCTTATTTTCGCCATTAGGGCTCCTCCATGTCCACTTGCGGTTTTCTCGTTTTTGGTAGAAGGTATTCAAAATCCGCAAATTATTGCGTTCTGCGAATTCTACTAGTAGCTCTCCTCTGGCGTTTCTAGTGCCGATGCCATAATCTCCTACTTGGTCTCCAGCCTGCTTCTTCCCTACCTTTGCATTGAAGTCGCCCATCACTATAGTATACTGTGTTTTTACCTTACTCATCCAATTCCACGTCTTCATAGAAGCTTTTAACTGAAGCGTGGCTGGATGTAGGCGCGTAAGCCTGTACTACCTTCATCTTGTATCTTTTATTCAGTTTAATTACAATACCTACCACCCTTTCATTAATGCTATAGTATTCCTCTATGTTGCCAGCCACGTTTCTGTGAATTAGGAACCCCACTCCCAGTTCTCTTCTGTCTGCCAAGCCCCGATAGCAAAGGACGTGCCCATTTTGTAGCACAGTATAGGCCTCATCTGTCCTCCTAACCTCACTGAGCCCTATTATATCCCATTTAACACCCTCTAGCTCCTCGAATAGTACAGCTAGACTTCCCTCACTAGATAAGGTTCTAGCGTTAAGCGTTGCCAAGTTCAGGTTCCAATGGCGGCCCGTAGTCCAGAGATTCTTAGCACCCTCTGCTGCGTTGCAGATCTGACCGCCGCCATGGTCAGTTGATTCGGAGCTGCTGGGGACTGAGAGCCGTGAGTTATTTGACGTATGCATGTGGGAGGTAGTGGCCAGATACTGCACCAGGGTGGCCAATCTTTCTCTGGTGAGGGAGTGCGTTCCCGGCGGTGGTTACCGGTGAGGCCGCACCCCAGGCCTCTTAATGCAGTTCCATCAACACGCAGATTTTTTTTTTTTCCGGTTGGGAACTGCACGGCACCAGGATTTGAACCACGGACCTCTTGCATGCGAGGCGGATGCTCTAATCACTACGCCATCGCCGCACCCGGATTGTTATGTTCTAAATGTAGGTTTCAGCGGTGTATCAGTCAAGTTTGTGGTTATTTTTATAAAAATAATAATGCTAATAACCTACCGGGAAACTTCTAACTCATACAGTGCAAAGCCCTAATTGTAGACCTGTCGCCGCTCAGGTTTCATCAGGACAGGAGTAATAGTACCGGAACTATTTCGTGACCAAAATTAAGCCTAATCACTAAAAAGATTAATTTGGTAACATCACCTCACAAACGAATTTAAATTTTGTCCGCTTAATATATTAATAAACAGCACCCCATAGGCTAATCGGAGGCCCAACTCCGTACTCTCTAGACCCTTAATTAAGAGAGTAATCAGCAGAAATCTCATTTCATTAACATTTTGTATATAATGACAAATGCAACTTTGTTGAGGTTTGAGTGAAATAACACTAATAACATAGTGCCACTAGCGGCAAAGTAGCAACACTGGCCAAACAGCGATAGTGGTAAAGTAGCGACATTAAAAAAGTAGTGATACTGACAAAAAAAAAACAGCACTAAATGAAGACTACAAAGCAGTAAAGCTACATTACTGGCGCCCCAGCGACACGAACCAAACACTGACATTAAAATAGGAGCGGCCAAGTCCCTGATCGGCATTTTTAAGAGAAACACAGATGGTGACCAGTAGTTCTACAATTGCATCTTTTAAGATATGAAAACGTATGTGCATCGCTGCAAAGTCCCTCTTTCTGCCATTCAAGAGCGGTCCCTTAACTAACTGCGCCAAGCCAGCTAGCCTCACATTTTCAGGCGGTAAAACAGAAATTAAAATACAGCAAAAGAAAGGAGACAAGGCCACGGCACTGTGGTCTCATGTTTCTTTCTCTTTTGGTTTCTCTTTCTGGCTCCATTTCTCTCTTTTGGCTCCGTTTTTTCCACTTGTAATTGTAGTGTACATTTGGCGCCAGTGTAGTGTACACAAATCCCACAGGAGTACAGTCACTATTGTGGGTTCGGTCTTAATGAGCCGCAGGGCCGCGTTCACCATCACCTCTTGTGACTAACACCTCTGCACACGCACGCTCGTACGGCCAAGGCACTGAGCGCAGCGTGGCGAGTACGCAGTTGTGCTCTCAGACATGTCACAACACTTTACTGTCTGTGGCAAGGCCAAACACGCCGCACAGTGCCCGCTGCAAAAGGCAGCGGGAAAGCAAATTGCGCTTATCCACGCTACGGGTGAAAGTACAACACAAAGGGTCTCGCAAAAACGTCCCGTGGACAGAAGGATTCATGGTGACACGTCACTGAGAGAAACGGTCCCTCGCGACTATGCTGCATGCTCTCACCATCAGTGACCACAGGGCCCGATCGCTCCAGCGAGGGCTAACTCTCCTCGAGTTTGCTTCGAGAGGTACGGGTCGGCGTAGTATGACCATGCTTGAACACACCGCACCACTCTTCGGCCTAGTGTTCGGAAGAGGCAACGAAAGGTAGGCATTCGCCGCGAGCGCAAGGCACCGATTCGCAAGTCCGGGCTAGCTTCGCCAATAAAGGGAGCCGACGGACGAAAAGAAAAGGCGTGCTCACCCTTCGATATCCAGAGAGAATCTCCGACTCCCGCCGGGCACGCGCGCAAGATTTGAGCGGGAGATTTGAGCACAGCACCACAGTCAACATCCAGTTGCAGGAGAGAGAGGTTAACGTCAACCTTGCTCAGCCAGCGCCGACAGACCGTAGAGGAGGGGAGAGTCATGTTGGGACATGACGGCAGAAATAGGCGAAAGAGCCCGGGCAATGGGGATGAGCCAGCCTGAATCCCCACATAATCAAGAACTAACTAGCCCAAATGTGTACCCTATTAAAGCTCATTTTTCGTAAGAGCACTGTTCTGAGGCATTTGAGTGTTACAAAAGTCTTGCAGCTGCTGTCAGAGCTTCAACTTATGCATGAAATCACCCATTCTCTTAGTTGTGGTACTTAATCCACAAGCTCTCTTCTCTCACCACGTTACCTGGAGGTATATCCTTCCAATGGCAGAGTGCAGCTGCGCTTTGCGTCCACTGTTCTTTTCAAGCAATATCCTTGCCACTTTAATGGCCACCACGTAGTCCTGCATCATAAACATATTTTTCATATAATATAATCACAACATGATTTAATAAATGAGGATGTAATGAATTATTTAATGTAACAAAGAAAACAAATGATAAGTCCTCATATTGCAATTACGAGGTAACATACATATGCTATTGAATAAAAAAATAATCATATTTTTGTGTAGACATGGTTATAACTTATAAGCAAAGTACACCTCATTTGTAGAGATGTGTAGGATGCAAGCATCCTGGACTTGAAATTTTTGGCAATACTACTGAACATGTGAATTTCTGGCAAGGTAATGACCTACTTTAGGTTTAGAATAACTGCTTTTTTAATAGCGAGACTAGACAAATTAAAGTTCTCAGCTTCTTTGAGATCTGTGATCTTTATGGAACAATGTAAGCCATCTTGAACCACTCGATTAACCCTGATATGAAGCTGAGGCCATAATTTTCAAAACTTCAGGGGTTTTGGGACACACAGAAAGATAAGCCTGAGATTTTTAACAGCATAACTACATACTTGATAATAGAAGAAAAAGCTCTGCAGGACGTCATATATAAATAAGACTTATATACCGTTACCTTTATCACTAGCACTAAAGGTAGATTTTTATGGTTGCATTCTCCTTAAACCATGAGGCATGAGAATTAAAATCTTGTTTTAGCCAAGAATTGCCCACAAGATTACTGTAGAGTACATTTTTTTTGCAGTATCTTGTAGTATTTTTATAAAGTGAACTCTGCATGGCCCTTACGGGCTTTGGACAATGGGCCAGTGTATTGTATGTACCTCTCACCAATACTACCACAGTGGAAGCACTGGCGTAGAAACACAGACACAACAGCTAGATTCCCACCTAAGCAAAAATAACGTGCAGCCTTGAAACCTGGAGTGAAAGCGTCAAAGAGACGCTGGTATCACATAAGTGAGGTTATTTAATATTAACGTGAATACAAAGCACTGGGAAAATTGACTCAAATGTCTATAGCACGAGGAGATAGTAGTCTATGTCACTAGCCCATAATCTCGGTCGAACGGCAATTTAAAAAATAATAGTACCGTAATTACTCGAATCTAACGCGCACCTTTTTTCCGGTTAAGCGAGCTCATAAATCGCATGCGCGTTAGAATCGAGTACGAACAAAAAAATTACGGTCAATCTATTGGCATCGGCAAATCCGAAATGGCCGCCCCCTACGTGCGTCGGCATGGCGCGTCGGCCATTTCTGCCTATGTGTTTCCCATGTGCGGCACTTCGTACATGTGCTGAGGAGTTCGTCATCTAGTAGTGCATTAGCATCGACGGCGTGGAAGGGCCGACTCCAAAAACTCACGTGCACCACGATGCCGCTTTTAAAGGAAAAGTCATCGCATGTGCAGAAACAAACGAAAATCGGGCCGCATCGCGGTCGTTCGGAGTTCCCGAAACGTGCGTGCGGGATTGGCGGAAACAAAAGCAGAAGATTGTCGACAGCAAAGCTTCACGCAAAGGCTTCAGTGGACCACAGCAGGGTCGGTTTCCGCAAATTAAAGAGCTGCTCGACGAGTATGTGCTTGAGCAGCGAGCGGCACAGCGGCCCGTGACGACAGAACTGCTCCAAGTGCGGGCTATGCAATTAGTCTTAGAAAAAGGTCTAATGCGGAGCCAGTTTAAAGCGAGCAGGTGCTGGCTAACTAACTTTATGAAGAGGAAAGGCTTTTCCCTCCGTAGGGAAACATGCATATGCGAAAACTTTTGCGGAGGAGTACGATGAAAAGCTTCACAGTTTCCAGAGGTTCGTCCTAAACTTGCGGCGCAATAACGGCTACCTGCTTGGGCAAATCGGGAATGCCGATCAGACGCCTCTTTACTTCGACATGCCTGGCACCACAACCCTCGAGAAGAAGGAGGCGAAGCAAGTTCGCGTGCTGACATCGGTCCACGGTAAAACTACAGTGACGACAATGCTCTGTTACACGTCAGATGGGCACAAGCTTCGCCCGTACCTCATATTTAAATGGAAGACGCTCCCAAAAAGAGTCGTTTTTTCGAGTGGTGTGATCGTGCGGGCCAGCGAGAAAAATGGGTGCGCGTTGCAATCGATGTCTTACGTTTTTTTTTTTTTTTCGCGGTGGAAATCGGGTGCGCGTTACAACCGAGGGCGCGGTAGAATCGAGTAAATACGGTAAGCTGAGTGAACGTCCTGCATCATAAACGTATTTTTCATATAATAATCACAACTTGATTTAATTAATGTGGATGTAATAAAATACTTCATGTAACAAACAAAACAAATGATATGTTCTCATGTTGCAATTACAATGTGACATACATATGCTATTTAATAAAAAAATGAATCAAGCTATTTTTGTGTAGACATGGTTATAACTTATAAGCAAAATACAGCTTATTTGTAGAGAGATGTGTAGAATGCAAGCATCCTGGACTTCCGAATTTTTGGCAATACTACTGAATATGTGAATTTCTGGCAAGGTAATGACCCACTTTACGCTTAGAATAACTACTTTTTTTAATAACAACACTAGACAAATTGAAGTTCTCAGCTTCTTTGAGATCTGTGATCTTTGTGGAACAATGTCAGCCATCTTGAACCACTCGATTCAACCTGATATGAAGCTGAGACCATAATTCTCTGAATTTCAGGGGTTTTGGGACACACAGAAAGACAAGCGTGAGATTTTTAGCAGCGTAACCACATACTTGATAATGGAAGAATAAGCTCTGCACAACGTCATATATAAATAAGATTTTTATCCCACTAGCCTTATCCCTAACGCTAAAAATAGATTTTTATGGTTGCATTCTGCTTAAACCATGAAGCATAAGAATTAAAATCTTGGGTTTTAGCCAAGAATTAGGCCCACAAGATTACTGTAGAGTACATTTTTTTTGCAGAATCTTGTGGTATTTTTTTAAAGCGAACTCTACATAGCCCTTACGGGCTTTGGACAATAGGCCAGTGTATTGTATGTACCTCTCACCAATACTACCACAGTGGAAGCACTGCCGTGGAAACACAGGCGCAACAGCTAGATTCCCACCTAAGCAAAAATAATGTGCAGCCTTGAAACCTGAATGAAAGCGCCAAAAAAACGCTGGTATCACATAAGTGAGGTTATTTAATATTAACGTGAATACAAAGCACTGGGAAAATTGAGTCAAATGTCTATAGCACAAGGAGATAGTAGTCTAAGTCACTGGCCCATAATCTCGATCGAACGGCAATTTAAAAAATAATAGCAAGCTGAGTGAACGTGAAACTCACCTTCTGGTTAAGAACGCAGTTGAGGATGGCGAAGTAGACTCGACACTCGCGGTCTTCCCACAGTTTCATGGAGGCTGCACGTGAACATGTGCATACCTGTGTCACGAATCACTTCAATCCAGAGTCCCTAATTTCGCGACAGTGAACACAGGAGCTCACGCTGCCGGTGCGAACAGAGCACTTTGGTGAGATACCGTATTTACCTCCATTATTTTGAAACCCCCGAAAATTGCAGCTGTAACGTCGTCTGCTCCTTCCAACCACTCATGATTATAGTGTATGATAGCCTGGCACCACCTCTTAACCAGTACACTTTATTAAGCATTATGTGCACCATTAATGTGCGAGCCTCAATCTAATCCAAGCCAAGCCAAGGTGGCAAGTGCGCATTGCGGCCGTGTCCGTTTCATGGCTATATGGGGCGATACCGAAGCTATACGGATGCTTTTAAGTTCAAAGTAATTAATCTTGCACTAAAAAACGGCAACAGGGGCGCCGGTAGCAACTTTAGAGTCGACGAGTTTTGTTTGCACTACTGGCGACGGCAGCACTGGCAGCTGAAAGCCACCAAGACGCGTGGGGCTAACCGTATGCCAAAACTTCAAATGGATGATAAAACTTGGTTTCGTCAGGAGGCAAATGCGGATGATTCCATGTTAGATGGCCATCAGCCCAAGGTTGACATTGTACGCTAAGCTTTCGTGGGCTCCCATTGAGTGACGAACGATAACGCTACACCCACAATGCCCGCAAGCTTTGCGTTTTGCTTGCAGCTTTTGTGTCTCAAATAAAGTTTGCCTAGTGTTGAACTTGTGGTTTTATTGTTAAGGTAAGTCTTGATTAGTAATTTTCAAAGCTTGTAGTTGTGAGCGTGAGAACCACGATTTGTGGCCACTTGGTGTTTTTGTTTGTTTTCTTACTCTGCATGTTTTTGCAGAAAATTTCCCTCAGGTAATTATCGCACCCCTCCACTTTTCATCGGTTTTTCTGTGAAAAAGAAGCGCAAGGATTATGCAAGTAAATACGGTACTGTTGCAAAACTGCAGGTTGTGCGTTTAGCAGACACATATACCACTCAATTGCGTGTCATCTGCCACATTAACCTGTGCCACGATGTGTAGAATAACAAGTGCAGCAAAAAGAGTTCAAACATGCAGCTAAGCTGTGATAGATGTGAAATAATGACCCGGTCATAATCAAATATCTGCGGGCTCACCTTGTCTCAACTGTTCACCCATATCCAGCAGGCTACCGTCCTCAGATATGCCGTTCGTCAAGTTTCCAAGAATCTGCCGAGACAAAAAAGGACGAGCTACTCTGTTTAGTCGAAGGTAACCAGGCTTATCTTTCCAGATTTTCGGACCCTTTACTAGGTAGGCACTCCCGTTGTAATGGAATAGTGAAATTCAAGTTGTCTAAAAGGAGCAATGATGCGCAGCAATTCTCTATTTTTATTTTATTTTTTCCCTAGAGCAATGAAAAGTCACTCCTTACACGACAACCTGTGGTCAGTGTTACAATAAAGTAAATACATTACAAATAACTGCTCCTACAAAAGCTCAGATGAGCACCTTGCCAATTCTGCCAATGCACTTGCTTTGAGCTCTCACCCATCTTAATTAAAAAAAAAAAAAAAGCACAATTCCACAATTTTTCTAACACAATGCTTTGTTGGGTGCATTGGTCCATGGTCTTAAAACAAAAGCAGAGCGCAAAACAGACATGAGAAGAGAGACATGAAGATGGGATAAAAGTGCTCACTATCAATTGCCTAAAGATGAAAAATTGAGGAAGTTATACACTCTGTGCATTACTATAGTGCGCTAGCGCACACTTCACAAAGTGAATCCAATCCAAAGATCTGCAACAGCTTACGGTAAAGCAGTTTGAACTCACTTCCCCGAAAACACCCTGACGCTTGACTGACACAGTCTGAACCCTCCCTTTTCACTGATTAAATTTGTCTTTTAATGTGTGCACAGGAGCACGCGCGACATATTGAGTGTATGTCTTGGTCAATTTCGCGCAATAAACCAGTCTGTAGAAGCGCTCATCCTGCCTTCTTTGCAGCCTGCCTTTATTTTATGAGCATCGCACAGCCGGCAGCAGATAAATAGCACTTTACTAAATATTTCAACTGAGACGTGGTCTGAAAGTGAAATTTCCAAGCTCCACATGCACCACCACCAACGGTGTGCAATCACTGCAAAATCAGTAATATGAAATAAAATATTTCTCTACTAGACACTGCCTTCATTGCGAATATCAAGTATTTCTAGATATTTCCCCAAGAATTTCAAACAGTTGTTAAAAACAGCGTACAAAATGAAACATGAAATTTGAACAAATGTACGTTAGCCATAGCAGTCAAAATGCGGCAGTGGGGAACACAACGCACAACTCAGGGAGGCAGACTTACCTCTAAACCGCAATTACTCGCAATCTTTAAAAAATTCCAGTATTAAATATAGAAAACCCAGCCCTGAATCCTGTTTGAAATTTTATAAAAGAATGCTTCCTAATGTACAGCATTACGACAAACCTGCCAACATTGCAAGCACTAGGATATGAGCACTGCTTTATACCAACAGCGAAAGCGCTTACCTTTCAAACTTCAAGAAATTGCATTCAGATAAATTTGCTTGGGGCCGTATGCAATTTTCATTAGATAAAGTCTTGATAATCACACAGCTCTAATGGTCACTCCTATTGAAGGCTCATATGTAGCTGTGGGAGTCTTACACCCAGTTTCTGTAACAGGGTATGATTCCCTGTAGTAATAACTTTTTTACTGAATTTGAAGTGCCGTATTTACTCATATATTACAAGCACCCGCTGATTGTAGTCAACAGTTGGTTGTCCACTGTTGCGGCAGCAACACTATCTTCATTTAACCTCTATCCAATGATTGATAGTCTATCAACTTCTATTCGTTGTCACACAAGGCATCACTGGCTTAAGCAACAATATTCAACGAAACTGGGTTCATGAACTGTTGATACTAAAATGGTTTCTCTCTCTCAAGCCTTACTGATTTAACTCACTTCTTTCGCTGCCTTCGCAAGACTTTCTCTTGAGATGCAACACAGCGTCGCGCACAATTATTGCAGCATTCTCTGTTCGCTTACCCTGTGCACGACGTTGAGAAGCTTGTAGAGGGAATTGAGGGCCGTGCAGTGGTTCCCCTGGAACTGCGGCAACTCGGCCAGCAGAAGGCGCATGGCAAACGGCACCATCGAACCTGGAACAGTTTAAGGATCCACGCTTAGAGGAACAGTAAATAACGGGAACTGCGTGGCTAGCCTGACCACAGGTCAGTTATGTGGCCACTCTGGTTCAGTTGAACTGCAGTAAAAAATTAGTTGCATTCGACAGAGTTACATAACGAGTGCCACTATCACTGACACCGGAATGGTTGTTTAATTCAAATAAGACTGAAGAGCTTGTGAAAAACCTATCAACTGATGAGTTAGTGGCATCCACATGTGCGAAAAGTGCAAGTGCACCGTCATCAAGAATAGCAATCGCTCAGGGCCAATCAGGCAGTTCGTGTAGCCACTGTTGGTATCTGAAATAGTGCTGACTGGAAATTGAGACCACTGCTCAGTAGAACCTTTCACACAATAACAATAACTGATAGGGCTTAATGTCACATAACCATGATATGACTATGAGACAAGTTGTAGAGCAGGGCTACGGAAATTTTTACAAACTGAGATTCTTTAATGTGCACCTAATGTGCACATAAGCCTTGAACATTTTCGCCTCCATCGAAGAGCGACCACGGCGGCAGGGATTTGGTACCGCGACCTGAGGGTCGGCAGTCAATCACCATAACCACTAGACCGCGTAAGCGAGTTTTGACACAACTAAAGGAGCGCAGACATTTAATAGCAAACATGCACACAAGAAAATCAGCAGATGGGCTTTGCACTGCTTGGCTATTAAACCAGGTGCCAGATTAATGAAGTGAATAAATGCTGTAGCTTTGCAAAAAAAAAAAATGCTTGCTGTAGTATTAGTTAAAAATGCTACAGGAGCTTTTTTTTTTTGTTCGTTGACAGAGGTTTTGATTTGCTGTCGGCATGATGACGTGGTTTTATTGAATAGAGAGTAGGACGTAGCGTGCTGCTGCATATAAAATGTAGTTTCATTAGGCTTCAATTTCAATGCTAACTGCTGTTCAACCCGATAGCGGTTGCGAATGCTCGTGAAACATGGCTTGAACGATAAACACACTCACCTCGCTTGCCTGGGTAAGTGTCCGGATAGAATTCATAAAACAGGTCTGGTTTGTCCAAGTCCCCGAAGGCGTCGCCCTCGACCTCCGCATAGGCAAATTTGCGCAGTTTCACGAAGAGTGCTAGCCGCGTGTACCACAACTGCGGGCAGAAAAAAAAAAGCAAGCAGCACAGTTCCATGAAACTTGTTTCACATGCTGAAACTGTGCGAGGTGAAATAGACATTTTGACAGTTAGCACCCCGAAGTCACAAGAGACAATTGTTTCACACGTGCCAACTTCTAGTCCGGCAAATGTGACCTCTAAGTAGCACGAGCGTGCCTCTTCCAACACACCAATGCGTATATGAAAGAACGTGTTCGCAACAACATTCAAGTACAGCGAAATCCCCACTGGTTTAACCTGTAGTTGTTACACATTAAGAAATCACCTAACCTAACCGAACTGTAATTAGAGTTCTGGTGGAGGGGCAGAGCTCATATAAAACTTGACAAGCAGCCCTTCACTTCATGCATCACGCTAGAGGCAAAAGACTCAACTGAATTTCGCATCTGCTGCAGATCACCTTTACAACATAGCGAATGGACCCCCATATGTTCAGCTATGCAGAGACACACACATCTGCACTAACCATATGAAGAAGCACTGGTTCAAAGCCACAGCTGCAGTGAATCTAACAGCCACATTTGCTCCATAAAGCAATCTGTGAGCACAGATGACATGCGAATGGCCCCTCGGGCAAATGCACTCAGACCTCATTATAACAAAGTCACATATGACGCACGAAAATACTTCGTTATATCTGAAAAATCCTTATAAACGATCACTTGTAACAGTGTTTATTGCGAAGTTATTGGTCACTTACTTTGTTGTAGGCAATAATTCGTTATAACCAAATTCATTTTATTGAGGTAGGAGCGTATAACCACACCGCTTTGCAGCAGATGACTTGCGATTTATAGTACACCTCCACCTTTCTATGCACCTCTGCAATGCATTAACATAGATTCAGCCAGCATTTTCAGCTATAATGCCAGCCAAGTGGGTTTTCCAGTTTCACCATGCTATACTGAGTTGTTCAATCATACGAGTAGCGCAACATTCCATGGCACCGATGCATCAAAATCCAAACTCACTCTTGGCCAAAATCACAGGAGTCGACCAAAAAAATAAACTAATAAAAGCTCGTGACAACGCTAGTGCTGCATGCGGTATTGAGCAGTTTGCATGGAGCCCACACAGGTGCGCCCCCGTAGCAATCTCGTGTATTGAATTGCTGCTTCCAGATGGCGGGACAATCTGCAGAGCCCTGCAGGATTGGCCATGGGCATGTCCGAATTTCGGAACACAGTTTCGCAACTGGTCTGATCAAAGAAACCAGGTGCTACGCACGTTTTGCTCAACTAATCTCTGCACACAGACAGACAAAGCAAGGCATGCCTGAAGGGAGTGAGGGCTGTGCCTAGACGGATGACCTCCGGCTCCGGGACCTTGGCCCACGTTGGTCAGTAGCCTGGTCGTCAGGTTGATGGCCGCATTGTGACACTGCGCACCCTGTGCGAAGCAAGGAAAGCTCAACGATCAGTGATGAGGTAATTAAGGTCACATAGTGACCTAGATGCACGATGACCAACATTAATCATATTGGTCAACACTTACCACACACATTTAGCAACATATGACAACACTGAGTGACAGTAGAATAGTATGCCCCCCATAGAGTTTCCTATACACTCAAACCCCGATACAAGGAAACTGGATCTAACAAAATGTCGGTTATAACAAAGCAAACGAAAAATAGTATAGCAATAGATATGTCGGGAATAAAGCATTATAATTAATTCTTGGATATAACAGATATAACGAATTTAATCTTGTGTATGACACAACTTTGTTCTAATGAGGCTTGAGTGTATACACACTACAGAGAACTCTGGCGCTAGTGTCTATGGGAGCTGTAACGCATGACACTTCAGCCAGCATCGCAATGATGGGTACTACTACAGAATTTGTCTAAGCTTCATTATGTCTGTCTCCGCTTGGCTTCGTCTGGCCTGTATGCACTTTGCCGCGAGACAAAGTTCAGCAAATGTTCAGCTATTCCACTTCACCACCTTAAGGCTGACCAATGCAAATCGGTTCACGAAGTTCCCAACAGTCCATTCTTTTATCCAAAACAAATGCGAAACCACAAGAACAAACGAAGCCACAAGTGCGTTTGAAGCCCAAGCACGAAGACTAAGCAAATACGTGTACTAACCGTCATTCCAACAGTGGCTGAATGATTGTAGCACCAGAGTTCCTTTTAGTTAATTTTGGGAAACTCTATGAGTATGGCAACACCAGCTAACAACTGCAGCCATGTAGCTATTTTTAGCCAACATTAGCCGTAATAGCTGACACAAGAGACGTTCGTGCATCAGTCATATCATTATTGTTCTTGTGTAGTTAGATTTTTTTTTTGCTAGGCGTCATGGATCTATTAGCCAAGAAGCAAGTTTGTCATGGAAAGTTGGCTTTCTCAGAACTGAGTGCTACGGACAAGTTCAAGGATGTGTTTCGGTGCTGCCTTATTAGGATTTACCCTTGACATTTTGATTTTGTATCTTTAACAACTAACTAAATAGTACTACCATAGACTCATACACATGAAAACAAATTGGGAGGGTGTATTGTAAGTTTTATGATCTTGCTAATTCAAGTAACAATATATGAAAAATTTAAAAAATAAAAACAATCACTCAACAGCACTGAGATGTAGCGCATATGTTTATTGTAAAAACAGCAGTATGTAAAAGTCGGTATGTAAAAGCTAAATAGTAGCCGGATGATGCACTTTCTCAGTCACAGATACAATTTTTGTAACCCTTCTGAAAGTTTACTGCACTTAAATTTTCCAAAATAGAGACAGAAGATTTTCCTTTCATGCCTCTGCTCCTTTTAAAGAACCACAACAATTTGCACATAACTGGCAATATTAGTGTGCACAAGCAAAAACAGGTAGGGAGATAACAGAGGCAGTACACATTAGAATTTGTGATAGCTGAGCAAGTGCTCCAAGCTTTAAAATTATAGATAAAGATATATAAGTTTCTGTTTGGACAATTCGATGAGCTTTCAGTAGCCGTAACATGCAAGCATGCATAGAAGTTGGCTCCAGTGTCATTTTATTTATATAATATAGCTAAAATTGTCACCAACCTGCGTCATTGACATGCTCCTTTCCCACGTCAGTCTTCTTTTTTGTAGTTCGTATAGTTTAAGAACACTAATAGGTACCAAGTAGAAAGTGTAACAAAACCATGCGTTAATGTCCTAAGCTAACGCAGCACTGAAAATAAAATCAATAATTGCTCATTTAAAATGTGGGAGGATTTGAAATTGTCACCTAATGCTTAGCATCAAGATGTTAAAGATAATGAGCCTTTAGAACAATTAGGCAAGATAAAAATTAAGCGAGTTGCCACAGATTCATGTCTTTATGTCTCTACGGTGCATACTCTATGTCTGGGCATTCGCACTGTTAGCCACAATGAATCTTTCAAACAAGTTTTCAAACAGTCTAAAACCTTGAATGTACAGAGCATGAGCAAAAGAGCAAAAGAGACGTATGCACACTGGGAAACGTCACAACTCACAATCAACTGCTTCAGTCCATCTTCATTCTGCGGGACATCATCAGCCGTAAGCGTCCTCCGAGTACCTGCCTCGTCAATGATGTGCTCCTGAAGAAGCACCCGGACGGTATCACCCTGCCACGGACGCAAAGCCAAGTTAGAGAACACGGAAGACGTAGCGGGATACTATGGTCACTGACCAAGTCAATGAAATTCATCGCCATCATCATTAGCCTGACTACGCCCACTGCATGACAGAGGCTTCTCCCATGTTCTGCCACTCGACTCGGTCCAGTTGTTGCTGCTGTCACTTGATACCCGCAAACTTCCCAATCTCATCTGCCCACCTAACAAAACATTTCCAGCAAACAAACTGCATAGAAATGACACCGAATAACTGAAGCCCTTGCGTCTGTCATAGAGCAATTTAAGTAACAGTGTTACAAAGTGACGCGTGTTTCCAAATCTCAAGCACCTTAATATGCCTTTCGCTTTCTTCTGTACTATTTCTAGCATTCCTGTACAGCTGACAGACAGCAACTTTGATGTTAGGGTTTCAATACTTCCAAATCTCCTCTTTACTGAGTGATGCACAAACATGCCTGTGAGTGTTTAACGACACTATCTAGGTTGGTCCGTAGTACATTACAGTTTTGTAAACAGCACTTCTGCCACACAAGAGAAGCAAAGGCAAGGTCACACCTGGCATTCGTCGATTATGACGCCGGGCATGGTGAGCTGTTCGCGCTCCGGGATGACTGTGCCTGGCTCGGACGTTGCAAGTCTGGCGAGGAAGTCTCTAGTCGCAGCCGACGGCAGCCAGCTGTCGTAAGCACAGATGTCACCGTCCTCGACGGGCTCGGCCATCAGGCAGGGCTCCTGAGGTCCAGTGATCGAATAGTCAGGTTATCATTAACATCTTTCAGTTCGCATAAACATACGTAAAACAAGTATGAGCCCTTCCAGAATCACCAGTTCCGCTAATAATAAGTAGATTTGGGCTTCTGTTCTTACCGAGTCTCTTGTAGAACTTTCCAGTTGCTTGCCACATTTCTTGGGCTTATTTGAATTTTTTTAGCAAATACAGTCGTATATGTTGACTAATAGCACATTAGTCAATGACTGAGTAGATGAGTGTTGAAGTGAAACTTACATTGCAGAAATCAACAAGTAATGTTAATCATGCACTAAGAAAGATGCATTCAACTGAATGAAGACTATTTCCTAGAAACAATGTTAAAAAGTAAGTATGTGCTTTCGTCCACAGCAGTGCTGATTTTCCCTGCACAAACTAATGAAACTTAGTTTTCCAACTCTCCTTTGTATTTCAGTATTTTCTTTGTTATAAGTTAAGATGATTTAAATAATGGGAAAATTAATAATTGCAATAATTTGCTCGTTAGCACCTGGCAACTCGGAACCCTCCCCTTATCGTGGAAAACGAGGGGCAAACGAGGCATGGTGTATGTGGGCATGGCATACCACTTTTTGTTATTTAAAGGAGCCCGGAGGCACTTCTTCAAGTAGTAGCAGTTTGGATTCACTAAAAGAGCTTATTGCCTCACAAATTCACTGCCACAAAAATTTTTAGAATCCTTCCACTACGAGCGGAGTCAATAGATTTGGTGCTCGCTGCAATCGCATTCTTTCTACTCTCGTGCCAATGAAAGTGCTGGAAGCTAAGCAGGGAGGGGTGGCATGGACAAAGAAACGCATCACAAGCATCTCGTAGCCTTGGGCTCTTTTTTCTTTTTCTTGGAATGCGTGGCTTTTTCAGTGGGATCGTGCACGCTTATGTGGACAAGTCGCGGCCTCACGTGGCGATCCCTGTAATGACCAAGTACGCCATGTTGAAGTGAGCCAATGGCTGATAAAACGGCTGAGACGAGTGATTTTTGAGCTTCTTCAGTCATTTGACGAGAGAAAAAAAAGCTATTTTTAGTTGATTTAGAGAACTTATTGTGAATTCCAGGCCGCATGCTGCGCTATAATATTTGACTCGCTTGTGCTCAGGAGCCTCCCTCCTCGCTTTTTTTCTTTTCCTTCTCGCTGGGAATCAGACCTTCGTCCGCATGCTCAACAGCACAACACTTCGATTGCTACAGAGAAGGAGAGTGGTAATGCGTTCATTCCCAGGCAACAATGAAAACATGGCAACATGAAATGACGACTGACTTCCATAAAATATCAGACCATCATCATATCAGAAACAGCTTGTTGCCAACAAGCCCACGTCCCAGAGAACATCAATTAGTGGAAAACCGGGGCTACAAATTCGCATGTGACCAGTGCACCTTCAGAGGCCTCTCTGTGTAGAGTGGAACAATTGTTGACATTCATATTTTGAAGTGCTTTGTTCCAAAACCGACAAACGACGGCACCATCCTTCTTATTTTAGTACGGTTCTACTTCAGGCATGTACCGAGGGTGTCACTAGTGATACAGATTAGGCCGAAATTCCAGACTCCGTACAGTTTTTTTTTATTTGTATTTGGTTCAACACTCTGCAGTGATCATCACTAATCTTCAATCTGCCTTTCCTTTTGTGGCGTCACACTGCACAAAAACTTGCAAAGCGTCTGCTAACTAACCCGGTGTGACACGGCCGCTTGCTGCAACAGGGCTCCGCTAAAGTACAGCGCCACTACAGCGTCACCAGAGGCTTACGTCAGCGACGGTGGCAATAAATCAAAGCTGTCAAGCTCGGAAAATTCATCCCTTCTCTAACCGTTTGAGCACAGTGTCGGTAAGCTTGACCCGCTGCTGCTACTAAGGTTAATATAAAGTCGTTATGTATCAAGTTGGAAAGCCTACTTTTGTCGACCCGGCATCCCAAACCTGCTTTAATGCCACCTGGTCCCACAGTTAGATTTGTTGTATGAAATAATTCCTTACACCACAGCTATGCACAAACCTGTACAAAGGAAATGGGGCTGGCACTACCCGACGACCTTCCCGACTGCTCGACGCCAGCTATGCCAGCAGCAAGGACGTCGAAGAAGGCTTTTCCCTCCTGGTCGCCACCGCTGCAGTCGCTCGAGAAGAACTTGCTCAACGAAGGTCCTTCTTCACCGGCGCTCCGTGAGTCATTTCTGTTCTCAGCCGACTCCACGACAACAGGTTCTTGTGCGGGCATGGAGTAGGAGGGCGTTGGGCCTGGGCAGAGGGAGAAGGTTGACGGAATCAACAATTTACTAACCGCTGAACTTATCGGTGCAGAATATATAGGATAGCAAACAAACATGATTCAATGTGATAAGAGATCAAAATGGGAATTAAGCACAATGTCAGCTACTTTAATGAGCACTGGCAAGCAGTTTTTTTTTTTTTTCGTCTCTGTTGTCCATCAAAAAGAAGTCCCAAACACACTCCGAATATCGACAATCACAATACCTAGAAAATATTGACATGCCCCAGAAAGAGTGGTAGACTCAAGAAGTGAAAAATTCAAATACTATGATGTTCTTGAGATAGGAAAAGATGAAGCTAGGAGGGACTTAAAATGTGTAGAAGTGATAACCAATACCTCATTAGTCATGGAAATCTCAGAGAAATGGAGAAAGTCAGCACTGCAATTAGGGCCGACTGGTGTGACTATGTGCCATTGTAATTGCATGCTCTGTACTCCAGAGTATTCAGTACAACTTACAAGAGTGTTCATAAAATTGATTTAAACATTGGCCTGGTGACTGAATCGTGTGACAGACAGCCCAAAATATGTGTAAGCAAGAAAGACTACCATCTTTAAAAAACGAAAATATTCAAGCCCTTTTAATGCTATCACTTGATACCAGATGCGGGCATCTTCAAGCCCTTTTTAAAGGAGTCATGGTCAACATTTACAGCCATAGTCCAACGACCTCAGTACTAATGTTTATTGCGTAATGAATTGACTACTGCAAAAGTTTCTCGAATCCGACAAGAACATACAGAGTTACTAAGGTTTGTCGGGTGCGTCAAGCACTTTCTTCTCTCGTCCCAACAAGCATGCCAGAAGCTACATAGCAAGGAATGGCCGCGGGAAAAGAAGGTATGTCATCTTACATTGTGACCTTGAGCGTGTGTGGTGAAACCTGATCGCCATGGTGATCCCTACTTGCAAGCATGGCTCACTGTAATTTCAGCAGACTAAGGAGCTCAAGTCGGAGTGAGGCACCAACCTATGGCAAGAAGTGCCCATCGCAAATGATCGAAATGCCAATCTTGTTTTATGACGGCTATTGGTCAATAGCATGCTATCTCATGTTCAACAGACTAACAGCCGGCACTGGCACCTCCCAAGAGAACGAGCGATGGTCGGTGTTCGTAAATGAGGTGCCTGAAGAAATGTCAACTTTGTGCCAATATGTGTATAGCAGTTTCTGCTACCCACAGGAAGTGTTTTCTCACCAAGCCCCCGGGTGATTCACGACCCCTTTAGAGCAGTGACATAGGGAGATGTGGTACCTTCGACAGCTTCCTGCGCAATGACGGCGATCTCGGGTTCCTGGGCGGTGCTGTCACCGAGAGAGAAATACACGGACGACTCCTCAGGTGGCTTCTCAGTAGTGATCGGTGCTTCTGGAACTACGTCCTCCAGTGCTGCCTTCTGTGCCATGTTCACCTCCGAGACGCTCTTCATCATGGGCGACGTGCTAACGGCCAACGAATCGAAGAAAGAGCAGGCGGCCACATCTGTCGGCGTGTTGCTGAAGTACCGCTTCAGGTCTGTCTCCTTGCCTGCATCAGAGTCCTGTGCAGAATTTAGCAGCATCTCAATTATGCATGGTAGTGGCTACAATCATCAGAACAAATCACAACTGGATATCGCAATGATTCATGCTGTGCTCTGAAGATACACCAGATGGAATGCTGTGGAATCTACAAAGAAGCTCTGCCAGAAAAAATTTTCAACATATAATATTGAAGGCTGGGTTTTTTGTCCAAAAAGCACGATATATCAAGGATGTCAACGTGAAGGGCTCCGGAAGTTTAGCCCATTGGGTGTTCTTTAACATGCCCCTTAAATCTAAGTATACGTGACTCTAGTCCACCTAAACGTGGCCAGCGTTCGATCTCGTGACCTTCAGGTCAGCCGGAGAGGTCGGCCACCGAGGACAGTTGTATGTACAGCCGTAGCCACATTCATGGGTAGGATCAGGGTAAGGAATCCCGTCAAGCCGCTTTTTTTTTTAGCAGCTTATAATTCCCATCTTGGAATCATTTTCACTCCTTGAACATACTTGTATTTTTTGTGTGTAGCATTACCATTGCATAAAAATATTGAATCGCTGTACTACTCTTGAAAAAAACATAGTTGATTCCTCTGTCCTAGGAATTGGTGTAACATGAAAGTTAAAATGTCTCCTTTTGTATTTAAAAGCATCCAATAGAGTTTCAGTAAAACAGAAAAACAAATAGTAAATATTGTACGAAAATGCTACACGAGCTAGCGGTCTAGCAATCAGATGGTCTCGGAGCCAAAAATACTAATAACAATAAACTAACAAGGTAAACTTTTTGTTTCCATTATGCACTCACACACAGCAGAGCAAACCTCCCGGTGGCTATAATCTAATGTATTCCGTCCAAAGAATAAAATCGCTGCCACGTTCATTTCTAATTGCAGCTTCTCAATTGGGTTTACGAACAAGTCACTTATTCGTAAACCCAGACGAAGAAGAGACACAGCATTGCGGTTGTCTTAATGTCACAAACGTCGAGCATCCTCGACCACGTGCCCTGCTCGGCTGCTCGACCTTGGATGCTCAACGCTCCTTGGTGAGGCGCACTCGAGCAGTGGCAAACTTTATTGGCATCCCGGAATAGGGTCTTGCCACTCAAACATTCGATATGCCGCAACTCTCTGGTACATTTTCTGTAATAAAATGTTTTCTACCACCTCCACCACCCTTCGTCGAAGGGAGGGCGCCTTTGAATTGGGACAAGTCTTCCGGCAATCAACGATTCGGCAACGGCAATTGTGCCTTCTATACATCTGCAGCAAAGGGGGCATATATGTGTTTGGAGAAAATGACCAAGACAAGACGTGTATGCTTTTGTCCACGGTTTACGATCAGAACTGTTCGAAAAATGAAATTAAGACAACCATTCGGTTGTGTCTCTTCTCTTCAATATATGTATGTATGTGTATATATATATATACATATATATATATATATATATATATATATATATATATATATATATATATATATATATATATATATATATATATATATATGTATATATATACGACTACTAGATGCTATGAAATGGATACATCCAGCTTAGCCTTCATAAAGAGCGATAAAAATTACATCAATACTGCCAAGCCAAATGACTCATTTGCAAGCATGCAACAGTTAGAAATACGCAGTGTGACATGTTTTCATTATTCACTGTGCATGTTAAGGCATTTTGTGACCATGTTGTTGCTACATTATGTCAACCAGGCCCATGTGTAAAGTTAGTCAAAACCTTAAACTATTTCTTTGAAAGGAACGGCAATGAGGCCGAAACTGCACAGTTGTTCTATGAGACTAAACAATGAACCCACAAACACATAAGCAACGCTGCATGGTCACACACTGTGATTATGTGTTGTGCAGTTTGCTGCAATTTCATGCAAGCAGTGTATGAATCAAATATTCCAGTCTGCAATGTTTTCTGTTTCGTTAAACTGAAACTGAAGCCATTCAGCGCATTAAAATGTACAAATGAAGCAACTATTACAGCTAATTACGGAAAATGCACCTTGAGAACAATCAGATGAGAGCTGCGGCATTAAACTTATCAACGAGCCGTATGCTAGGCCAGACATCGGAATATATCGCTCAACTACACCGCATGTAATGCCGTATTTACGCTAAGGTATCCGCGTTTCCAGCTCGCATTTCAAAGTGCTACTACAGACACGAATGCCAAGGCCGGCCGTTACCTCCGAGTAGATGTCTGTCGTTTCTAGAGCCACCGTTTCCATCGGCGCCGAGTCATCTTCACTGCCGTCTTCAACGACAGCAGGAGCAGACTGCGGAGCTGCGTCAGAGTTTGCGCCGGAGTTCGCAGATTCGCTCCAGTCGAGGGCATCGGACGGCGGAGGGTGCGTTGTTTCCGACATTGCGTGTCGCTTCCTGCCGATAGTGTAGGCCGAACAACTTTTGCGCCACGGTCGAGACTTTTCTTTCAGTTAGACGCCTGAACGTGCGAATTGTTTGCGAGCATTTCTCCTGGCGTAGATATAAACCAACAACGAGATGACGCCAAAGGGCTGCTACACCTCTCAACCAGCAGCTGGATCGGCTGGATCGCTATATCGACGGGCGACGGCGTGATAACCAGTATTGTTATTTTCACTCAAAGAACAAATACAACTTGTTTACAGCGTCCGTGACTTATCGAAGCAAGCAGTTATTGCCAAGTCAACGTAACAGAGCTAACTCGATTTGGAGTAGCCGTTCAATTTCTTTACTATAACCCAATAAAAAGTTTTTGTAACAAAGTACAAAAAGCCCGTCGAAATAAACAGGACAATGTTTTCACGTTTTACGTCGAAATAGCGGGATGTTCTTATTCCGAAAACACCGGCTCGTGCTGTCTGCTAGCTGTTCGAGGCATTGTTAGTGGCTCTCTACTGACGCATTCATAACTTAGTGACGCTTTCGACGCTCAATTCATGTCACGATAATTAAAGTAAAAAGTTATGGTACGTAGCGCTTGGAACCAAGTATCGTTCACCGATCGCTAATGCAATTCTCGCAACACCGGTGGCGATGCGTTCTGGAGGCAGCTGAATTGATCTTCGCGACAGCCTCCTGAATCGTCGTATGTGGTAGTGCGAAACATACAAAAAGATGGAAGACGAAGCTGCTGTCATCTACGGTCTAGAGCTACAGGTATGTAACTGCGAGCCATCTGCGAATCTGTCGATTGGCGAGCCTTTGACAGTCGATCGAATTGACCGACCGAGATGTTTGTGTGAAGGCGCTTCATTGACGGTATCCGTTTATCTCGTAGTCCCGATCCCTGGCAGCCTTGGCCGCCGAGACTGAGACGGCATGTTTCCTGGTTGGCACACAGTCGCTCAAGTGCGACAACCAGGTTAGTTTGCAAACACGCCAACGAATTGGCAGTTTGTTTTAACTAATCTACACAGCGTGGCACGTTGCTTCCATGTATAGTTCCAAAACACCCTCGCATCTGTATGAGGCACACAACTGCTCGAACGTTTTGATCACGATTGTAGTTCAAAAGGCGTGTACTGTACATTCTTTCTATTTGCCAGCCCTGACGGCTGCGGAAGGCACCATTTGTGGTAATGGTAATTCGGACTACATATATGTTAGAGACAACCAAAGAATTCGTAACAAGCTATAACCCATCTATAACTAATACCTAATAAGTATAGTCTGTCCGAGACTCATTGCAGGAGTATGCAGTAAAGAGGACTGGCTGCAGTGGTTCACGACTAAATTGCAAGCAACGGAGATAACCAAAAGCAAAACGTTCGTTTTTTCAAGCAGCAGTGTTGTAGCAAAAATGCACAACCAATTCCTGTTGGTAATGATGTCATACTTTCATACACTACCTCTCCATACTTTTCCTTTTCTGCAAGTGGTACAGGAATAAAATTCTTTCAAGCAGCACACAGTGTTGCTTGAAAGAAATGAAGCGCTTGATTGTTAGTCAGCTTTTTTGAATGTTCAGGCACTCTAGTGTACCTGTGTGCTGGCCGTTTGCACTCAAGGGCACAGTGTATATCAAAATGTCTAAATGTGTACACACTTTACGACTTCACATAAAAATCAGGACTTCATCCAACTGTGCATTGTCTCACCAGTATATGTGCTTCCGTCAGATCCACGTACTGGTCTACAACGAAGAGACTAACTCGTTGAGCAAGGCGGTGTACATCCACAGCGCCGGCGAGCTCTGGCATCTTGCCTGCTCGCCCACGGACAAGACCCTCTTCTCCTCCTGTTACAACGAAATCAGTGAGCACTGAACATTTGGTCACGCTTCTTACCTTGGCCTTCTAATGTTCACAGTTTAATATGAGAGAATTTGTGTTTTAGGGGCGAAGCTCCTTAGGATGTGGGTCGTTCCTTCCTCCGTTTTTATGTAGTATGTATGTAGCTGCCTCTAGTTTATGAATTGCTCACAAGATGGCGTGTGTATGTGTCTTGTGAAATAATATCGATAGATGGCATTAGTGCTTTTCGTAGAGTTGACGATTAAAGAGTATAGGTGGGGCTGTTATAATAATTCTCAGCATATCCACGGAGTGAAAGATGAATGAGTGGGGCGAAGTGTCCGTCCGATGCGTGCTCTAGCTAGTGTGACAGGAGCGGACAAACGGCCAGACGAATGGACGCTTGCACCTTATCATCATTCACTCTGTGGATGTGCTGTGAATTTCTTCAGAAGCGGGATCTCTAGAAGGATATCTGCCATGTAGACAACTTACAAAGTGCATTGGATTAAAGTGAAAACAATGGAGGCAACCATAATCTTTAGCTTAAGTGTTTGGTAGTGGCACTCGCGCATCGGCACCCATGTTCACTGATGTAAAGCCTAGGTTACTTTTGTGTTTCTTCGCACTACTGAAACCGTGACCTGCTCTGCGATAATTCCGGCTGCTTACAAGAAAACTGCCTGCTCTTTTCATGAACTCATTTAATTTATTTTCTATAATTACCCTAACAGTTAACTAGCCCATGTCAGCTTTATTTTTTTCCCAAGACTCTTCCTGAATATTCGAGTAACTGGAAGTGCTTGTAAGAGAAACAATGGTCACCTGTTGCTCAAACCACTAAAAACAAACCTGTCTACATATTTACATCATAGGCAACACTTTTTGTGAATGCACGTACGACTGATATGCATATGGCTATGGACCATATATCGTTGTAACCACAAAAATAAGCACAGAAATCAAGCCTCAGAAAGCGACAAAATTGAGTGACAGCTGCCAGACGTGAGGTACGTATGCACTTTCTCAGGAAGTACATCTTCGGTATATCCTTTCGAGTAAATGAGTTTTTAGCAGACGATCTTCGCCATGTCTTAATGAATTATCTTTTGAATAATGCATGCAGTTTAGTCATGGCTTACGCGAATACGAAAGTTACTGTTGCTGTTACGCGTTTCGCCAGTTCTCAGTTTTTTTTATTCGTTTTGTTTTCTCCCATAGCCAAGGCTGGGAAATGCGAGATGCAAGCGGCCATCTGGAAGTTGCCCGAGGTGCCAGCCGTTGGTGATCTTTCACCTCCAGATGACGGACTAGCGTCCTTGCCTCGACTCGAAGAGGTCACCCACCTCGACACTCTGTCGTATGGCACCGAAGTGCCCAGGTGCGTGTTTCAGCTGGTGGTCTCGACTTCATGTAATGATGAAGTAAGTTCTCTGCTAAAAAAAATGGGGTTATTAAGTTTGTGAAAAGACCGTAAAGACCTCAGGATGTCTCTCAAATATGTATTAGGATATTTAATATGTATTTCATAATTTCTTAAGGCTTCGTGTTTCGATGTGACTCTTGAATTACAAGGGACACTGCAGGAAAAAGGGTCGTGATTGACATACATAATCCAGAGATCTGTAGAATGCACATAAACCACAGCATGCACATATTCTGGCATTAAGATTCCGTCTAAATGAAATTGGTATACTGTATGAAAACAGCAGCAGAACACAATGATGACACAAACTGCACTCGCTCTCGTTGATGTTCTATGCTGACCTCAAAAATGTCTCGAATGAAGATTACTACCCAAAGGGCGTCACACCTCAACGTCCTCCTTGGTGCAGGGTATTATGGGAGCCCACCGAAGGTCGCAAGTTGGTCTCCCTGGTCAACAACAACCTCCTAATGTTTGACCTGGCATCGGCGGGCAATTCAGCCACGGTATGGACCCGTTTTATTCAGTTAGAAAAGCATTTTTTGCTCATGCGCATATTACTTCATAGAACTGTCAAACGCACGAAAACGCAGTTTCTATTGAACTCTAGAATTAACAGCTGTGCTCTTCTTGCACTGCAGCTGACCGGATGCATCACAGTGGAGCTCAAAGGCAACCCCAGGCTCACCTGTGCCGCCTGGAACCCGCACCAGAGCTGCACCCTCGTGGCGGCAGCTGTGGACACTGGGATTAAGGCCTTTGATCTGCGCTCCATGCAGTAAGATGAACTGCTTTTGTTTTTTAGCACACACGAATTGTGCAGATCGCTCTGGAATCTAGCCCACAGTTGCTTTTAAATAGAGAAACTGCACTTTGTAGCTTTGAAGGGTAAGGTTGGCAGTGTTGCACATGCCACAAAAAAAAAAAAAGGTCGAAAGCCACTATAGCTGATAAAAATAAAGATGAGAAGGCCTGTTGGCCTGGTTCGGTGTAAGGCCTTTATTATGTAACGATCTTTAAAAGGTTCAGGCGATCATCAATGCCTGCAAGATTTTGAGTCAATGCTTCTTCAGCTCCCTTTTCCAGGCAGATCTAAAAGGAGGAGCGAGAGCCTGCCTATCGGTTGTCAACAAAAAATTTAGAATGATGCAGCCACGTCAGCATAGCGGTACAATACATAATCATGACTGCCCTTTGCTTCAGTGAATTCTCTAAGGGTGCTTCCCTCAATTCCTCTCAGAACATTAGTTCTTCTATATTGTCCTTGTGTACGAATGTATGCCAGTGTTATGCATTGGTTACACCTCCAAGACACTACTATTAAGCCTTGTCTCTTAACTATTATAACAGCCGCATTACTTCAAGAAATAACTTTTAAATGGAAAACAAATGCAAACACAGAACAGTATAGTAACTGATTTCACAACTGCAATTACAGCACCGAGCGTACATCCTCAAGTAACTTATTCCGGTAGCACACAGGAACTTTTGGTTGTGATCAGTGTTAATCTTGATTCGGCTTTATCGTGATCAAGTGTAGATGCATGGTCAGACTTAATCACACAATCATGCCAGATCGGGATCTAGACTCTGATTGTGATTGTGTATCACAATATGGCTCCGTGATCGCAACTCGGTTTAGGTTTTTTTCCAAACTTGACCTGTATTAGGCTGTACCATACAGCGACAACCAACTTGCTTTCGTGATGACGAAGTTCGATTCAGATTGGCCCTGATCGCAATAATAAGTGCCCCTGTGATAGCAGTACTCTTAGTCACATGTGCTGCATCAAACTATACAGGGTGTTTCCAAGTTGTTTCAGTGTACAGAAAGTTTGTAGTTACTCTAAGGTACAACAAAGGCTTAATTTGGTGTGTACTATAGAGCGTTGTTTACTAGCAAAATCGTGGTTAC